ACCCACACAATGCCAGCACATAAATTACAATCAGTGGCTAATTAGTTTCATCCTGCCAGACAATCATTCCTTCGAGTTCGGCCAAACTTTTCTCCGTTCGCTAATCTCTTTTTGCCCGGCTTTTGTTTTAAGAAATCCACTTGCCTCCCATTTCTCGGCGTGCAACAGGCATTCCATTCGACGCTCTCTCTCTCTATTCGCCTCCACCTCCGTTGACCCCAAATCCCCGGAACGAGTCCGGGGGGCCAGGACAATAAAGCCAACTGCCGTGGGTCCAAACAAAGCAACAGCGACGTGGCACCACATAAAAAGCGCCATAAAAAAGCAGAATAAGGCGGAGACTAGCGCACATAAAACCGAACAATTGCCAAAAATCAAATGTGACAACTTTTACCAAAATTAAAATCAGCAAAAGTGAAGCCAAAACAGCCAGCAGCGAGTCGAAGGCGAGGAGGCAAACAGGACATAAAGGACGAACGACTAGCGAGGAGCGAGCAGGGAAGCAGGACATAGAAAGTGGGCGGCAGTGTGTGGAACATAAAGTGGGAGGAGTGATGGCCGGGTCCGAATCATTGATGCCAAACGGAAATGTGCGCACTTTCAAGAAGTGCACTAAAAATGGCGACGAGCACTTCCGCTGATGGTTCGTCGGGTCCTGGATGGTCGGATGGCCACTGGCACCACCGCTGTTCTGCTCCTGGCCACAGTGACTAGCAGGCCAAGAAGGCCATGCTAGCAGAAGTTCTTGGCGTCAACAAAAAGTGTCTGTAAACAAGGCAACTAATATCGATGGAGGAGGTGCCGCAATAAGCCAAAGCTTTGCCTTATTCACACAGAGAAAACTTTGTTTTTTAGTTATGGGGGAAGTCCTACGAAATTGTATTACAACTTAGGTGTCTAAAATGAAGGGGTAGAATATTCTGAAATTTTAAAATGCTTTCACTACTTCAATAAAGTATATAATAGTATACTAAAGTTCATTAAAGTATATTTATTTTATACAAAATAGTAATAGTTATACAAAATAATAGCCAGGTAAGAAATATTTATTCTTCCAACTAAAAATATCTAAGAAACTTAAACTGGCAAAAACTGAACCACTGTCGAGTGGAAAGCGAGACTGCTGCTGACTGGCCTTTGAACTCCTTCGTCCTTCTTTCCAGTCACCGAGCAGCACTTAAAAATAGAGAGAAAACAGAGGAACAGCACGACGGGGCAAAACAAATGTTCGCATGAAAGTTGAATGATGGCTCCAAGCCAGACTGAAGACTGGACTGAAAATCAGGAACGCAGCACGAACACCAAAGAGGAATCGCAACTGCAGGCCACGTCCGACTCAAAGTCCGTGTTTTCACTCCGGACGGACAGACAGACGGACAGACAGACGGACAGACGGAGAAAAGCGGACGGAGGCCAATGTTGTTGGGTATGTAAACAAGCGCCGCTTCACAAGAAATTCGAAATTGCATTTAAAGTGCCTTAAACACTTGACATCGGACATCAGACATCAGACATCAGAGATCAGACATCGGACTGGACCGGATTTCATTAGCACAGCTTGTGCGCACAACATGGCGTATGATTAATATGAGAACAAGACAGTAATGAAGAGCGCTTTAACATCATCACGGGAATGGACATCCTTCCTGGAAATTCGGGCGGTGGCTAATTGCATAACAGTAGTGGCAGAGGCAGCATTTTCAGCACCGTCAGCTCCGGAACATTACGACCGAGTTCACTTGAGCAGAAACGAAGCGTTTGGCCTGGAAACAGGCAATAAAATTTGGTCAAAACGGCAGGGCATACAGATAAGCGTCAAACAGTTCACACATTTTCATAGCACCCTTCCCGCTCCGCTGGAAATGCGCTCAAGCGTGAATATTAAACGTTTGCTTAGAAATGTGAGCGAACTCTGCGATATTGCCCATTTCATCCCCCCAGTTTTTCGTCCAGGCGACATGGGCCCACTGTTTCTGGCCGAAACTTTTCGCCGGCAAGCAAAGTTCTCGGCAAAGGGAAAAGTTTGCCAGCCCAATGGAAATGGAGAATGGAGAGCAGATATGTAAATACCATTGCCTGCCAACGGGAAGTTGTAGATAGCTCCGCTTTGGTTAAGCAACGAGCTGGAAGATCGCCGTCCAGCAATTAGACTTAGATTAGGTTCACTGCGAGTGCAATTTGGAATTAGTGTAACCCAAACTATTGGGAAATAATTGAATTTCTCAGAAAATAAATCAGTTTTTTAACGTATTTCCTCTGCAAACTATTAAAAACTTGAGAAATTTCAGAATTTAATCAGTTAGTTTTGAAAATCAAATACAAACATTCTAAGGATTTAACTTCAGTTTTAAAGTTTTATGAATTTACTTCCAGCAAGCAAGCTTCTTTAAAGAATAAAACGTCAAAGACAACTTTGCAGGGTGGTTCATTCCTCTACATACGCAATATAAATACACACACACACACACGCACAATCTCACTCGTATATCCTTGCACACATTTGACTGCCCAAAATTACTTTGCTTTGATATGAAAAGGTGGGCTCGACTGGCAGTTCGGTGCCCTGGCAATCCGGTTTTGATCTTTGCAGCGTAATAATTCCCCCGTCGAAAGCCCTCTCGGTCCGGTGCTAATCACAGAGCGTGTCCTTGAAAAGGACCTCCCTCCGCTTGGCAGGAAAAACAATATTAAATCCGGCGTTGCCAGTGGCGGACAGGCAGGCAGGCTCTCTTTAAATCGCAAATTGAGCTGCCAGCGGAATGCAGGCACGACCGTTTTGTGCATTAATATGCAAAGCACGCGGCACGTCATTAGTGGAGTGTTGTGGCAAAGGAGGGTTCCTATGTGGCCAGGACTCTGGCTGGATGTGGATCCCAATGTGGATGGCAGTGTGGGTGCTGGTGAGTCAACATAATGAATTATGCCACGCCTAACGAGTACACAGCAGCCAACGCGGCCCGGCACAGAAATCCAATAAAAATTCAATAAATTCCTCACAATTCCAGTCACAATTGCGGTCAAAGTATTAGCTCACAGGAAAATAAACAAGTTAAGCAAACAATTCAAAAAACGATTTTGGTGGCCATTAAATCTTGAAGATTTAATCTGGCTTTAAACTATTAAAATACATCGAAAGTTTATTTTAAAACATCCCAAACAAACAGCATATTATTTCAACATTTTTAAAAATAACATTGTTATGACTTTGCAGACATTAAATGCCTTACTTTAAACATTTAAAATTAAGGGTAGAAGCTTAAAGTTTATTGTACCTACACATCAAACATGGCTTTAAATTATTCCTCTTTTGTGTAACATAAATATCTATTTATTTACCCGCTCTTGTATTTCCTACGTTAGGATAGGAAAAGTGTGTGGAATATTTGGTATGGCTGAGTTGAGGAATTGCACGTGAAGCCCGGCGAGAAATAGTCCCGGCCTATTCGCTCACATGCGTCGACAAACAAAGCCGCCATAAGTCCGGGTGAAAGGGAAATATATAAAAAAAATACACATAATTTACTTTTCAATTTTCTTTGCATTGGGTGGGTGGCTCTGGGGGGATTCGGGGTGGGCGTGGCAGGACATGTGGTGGTGTCTGCGTGAGCGGCGCCTATAAATAGACAGTGGGAATGGCAAATGCCAAACGCGACAACCGGAAGTCGCAGGAGCCGATGATATATGGTCGGGAATTATGGGAGTGTGGGCTGCGTAAGAAACCAACTACTGAAGTGGCCAACAAATTGAAAACAAACAAAATTAAATAAATGACCAACCTTTTGAGCGGCCATTGAAATATTACTCGCATTAAAATATGTTTTATCTACCCGGTAAACCATTTATGGCAATCCAATGGATTATAGGGCTCTTCTGCATTCACTAAACATAATATACATTTTGTATTTGCATTTAAGGTGTGCAATAACTCGGTGATAAAACTAATGAATAACACATTTTAACTGATAACAGCAAAATAGCTGTCTTTTAAGACATTATGCTTCGTTGCATATTTAATGTGAGATTAAGAACACCCAGTTTGGTAGCATGAAACCCAAACTATTAAGATTATATCTTTATCCACCAGGCATAAAGACCTTCTATCTTTTCCTTTTCGCTTTGACCGCTCAATATTAAATTTCATAAAAATTGTGCGTGCCTATTACCGTACCCGACTGACTCTCTCTCGTTCACGTCCCTCCATCTGCTGCTCGTAATTAATTTACGACAAAAATAGGGTTAATATCGCCCAGGACTCTGGGATATAGAGAGGCGAGATGGCCCGAGATGGCCCGACATCCCGGTTCCATATCGGAGATTCCCCGCTCCTGTCAACACAGTCATCAACTGTCTGTCGCTCAAATTGCTGTCACTGCGGAGGACATGGACGCGGATGCGAATGCGAATGCGGACGGGGACGACGACGAGGACGAGGATGTGTATGGGGATTCGACGGCGGAGAGGTGGATGCGGTCGCGGACCTTTTTTCTTCCTTTTCGGAGATGCCTTCAGGCAAATGATGCCTATTTGATCGGGGCCAAAGGATAAACAAAACGAGCGAGCAACGCAACGCAGCAAAAATAAAAAGAAAAGTAAGTCCCAAATTTAAAATACCCTGTTTTACAAATAACAGAAATTCGTATTTTATTTTATGACCTATTAATCAAGCCAAGAATCCTAAACTACTGTTTGAGAAATACTTTATAATATTAAAAAAATCTCCGAAATATTTTCTCAAATAAGTAATTAATCACAATAAATTTTTAGGGTAAGCTTCCAAAGTTTTTATTATTTTTAATATTTTTTTCTTTCAAATTATCAGTAGCTAAGCACACCCCAGATTTATCCAAGTAATGGATACAAATAAAGGCTCGAAATAAAATGAGAAGACGTTAAAGGAAAAAGGCGGCAAAGGCAAAGGCAGCGGCAAAGGAAAATGGTCTGCCCTTCCCCTTCGGAGTCTGAATCCAGAGTCAGTAAGACAGCGAGGAAGACATACTAACCTAAAGTTATAGGGCCTGGGTCAGCAGTTGCCAGTTACGCCTTTTCCATGGTTAACCAATTCACTTTTGTCGCTCGCGTTTCGCTGGCCGGGTGTATTTATTTTATGCCGCTTTCTATGTAAATTTTTATGAGCGCGCGCATCAAATAAAATTAATTCCAAAAATTGTTGTTGATTTTGTATCGCTTGTAGCTGGGTTGGCTCGTTGGTTGCAGTTGGTTTTAGCGCGGGTTTTTCGTGGTAGTAGTTTGTTGGCTGGTAAATTATATTATCTTTCCATTTGTTGATTCTCAGTATTGATTTTGTTAAAATTAAATTTTGCTTTTGGATTTCAGATGGCGAGTAGTTGGCAAGTTGAATCAGGACAACTTTATTGTGAAATAATTTTAAGTGAATTTATTATCTGTACATATAAGTTATTCCTTTCCCTTTTCGCACACACAATACTCCTTTTAAAACAAACCATAAATATCCTGATTTCGCTGAAAACATCCTTATGCTGACATATATATAATTTAAGCTGCACGTTCGAGATGTTCAATCATGCAATCAATATCTAGATATTTTTTACTGCTGGTATGCTGCTGAAAGTATGCAATCAAAAGTTTAAGGATTGCAATTTCTCTAAGAGTTTTGCGGAAACTTTTAACAACAACGTTAGAAATTGGTCAAATACAAATAAAAGAGTTGGACAAGTTTGCCTTTCACTACAAACTCAATAAGTAAATATTTGTAGTTTGGTAGAATTTGAAAAATAATAGCTTTGAGTATTTATTAAATTCGATAAAATAATAAACATGTTTTTTATATTTTCTTGTGAAATCCCTTATGTTTGTTTCAGTTTACGCAATATTTTTTATTAAGACGAAATGACTTTAAAAAAACCTCTGCCTGCCAATTTTTTATGTTGCCAATTATGGAGTTTGGCCAATTCCGTTGCACTCCAAAAAAGTTTATTAAAGGCAAAAAAAGGCCGAAAGTAGAGTCATAAAAAGTCCAAGGCGCTGAAACTTTTTCCGAGTTAAATAGAATCCTTCGCTCCTCTCGCATGCACCTACTCCTGCTGTTTTTTTATTCCTTCCTTTTGCTACACGCGCTGCTTTCAAAATAACTCTAGGATACACAAAAAGACATCCTGTGGCCTCGAATGTGTCTCTGTATTTGTAACTCTGCCTGTTTATGTGTGTGTGCGAGTGGGAAAGGTAAAACTTTGGAGGAACTCCTTGTTGTTGCTGCTCCTGCTGCTGTTGATAATTCAGGAGTACGAATTTGGCTCGAAAGGCGAACGGCAAATTAACGAGGAATCGAATACGGAACGAAAACGAAACGGGAATGCACGAGAAATGCGTATAAAAATATATATTTTGCTCATAAATTAAACGATTTGCACACTAAAAGCGGGTAGACCAACACGCGCGCAAAACTAACGGAGCGGCGTCTCACGCAGACACACTCGCCTATATCCTGGCAGGATTTCGTCCTGTCTGTGTGTGCGTGTATGTCTGTGAGTATTAATGCCGCCGCAGAGCTAAGCGCGCAAAAACCGACAGATACACGAGCATTTAACACCCAAAAAATGCGTGGCGCATGTTGAAAAGCTGCTCCCATCGAACATGTTAAAAAGAAAACCGCCCGAATCGCGTGTAATTTTTTATTTTTCTTCGTTTATTTCACCACCACGCGTTTTTCAATACTTTTTCACATACTCTTCGGTTTTAGCAATTATTTCAATTTCTTTGGTTAGGCACTGATTCAACTTAATTTTCCCGTGGCAGCGCCCACAATCGAAGCGTGTGCGTTCGCGTTTGTGTCCTGTACTCAATTGTATTCTCCGAGTTCCGCCAGCACCTTCAAATGGCAATCCTTGCTTTCGTCCTGCCGATGCGAGTGCGCGCGTTAAGTTGTTGATTCCGCAAAAAGCTCTCTCCGCGGGTTTTTTGCTCTCAAATGCTCTGTTAACCGATTTCAGTAAAAATTATTTTTGGTTACTGTTAAGTCCTTATTGGTTTGAGTCCGGGATGAAAGGAGTCTTGGATTTAGCGACAACTCAAACCGTTATTAATATTTTTCTGGGCTTAAAGACCCAGATCCTCAATTGTTTTTACGAAAAATTATTTAAAATACCTTAGAAAAAAGCAACTTTCAAGTTTTAAGAATTTACTTAGATCTTTAAATTACAACTGTACATCCGTAATTGTGGTATACAAGGATCAGTTAAATAGAAGCCGTCACAACAGCAGCACAACAACTTTGTCCTGGATTGTTTGGCAGAAGAGCAATATAAAAATAGTCATATATCTCAAAATTCCCTAGAAATGCTAGCTACAGCTTAGAATGTGGCATGGTTTCGTATAAAGTAGACGTCGTACTCCTTCTCTATCCACTTGATAAGCTTGTCCACGTATTTAATCACGGTGGCTTTGTCTACGACTGGTTCGAAGACGGCGTAAAGTTCGTAGGTACCGGTGGCCCAGGCCAACACCACCTCGCGCTCCTTCACCTCGTAGATGAGTTTCAGCGGCCGAGAGCTATTGTGAATGCGGTGCAGCAGGTCACAGTAGATGGCCTCCAGGCGCTCCAGCTCCTGTAGGGACTTGTACGGATTCCTGAGCATGGGACACAGCAATTGTGCCGTACTTTTCGGCTTGTACAAGAAGTGCCGCAGCTCGGGAATTCCCACAACCTGTTGGTAAAGTTTTACATTGTAGGGTTGCTGTAGCTCCTCGTTGATGGCCTCCAGGCAATGGTTCTTTCGCAGCTTTTCCGTAATCTTTGCCTTGGCCTCCGCCAGCGTGAAGAAGGCATCCCGATCCACGGATAGCAGGAGCAAGCAGGCTTGACAATCGTCCGCTAAATAAGAGACATGTGCATGCAGATAGCCATTCATGTCAAATTTTGGCAGGCAAATGGGCGACCAGTTCTCGGAGCTCTTAAAAGATTCCGAGCACTCTACCAGGTTAAAGATGAGACGCAGATCAGCTGGATGTATGGAGTACTTCTTCATGCGGACCAGTGCTATGAGTTTGTTATTGGCTATCAGCACGGCAAACACCAGATTCTTAATCTTTGAACAGTTGCTTTGAATGGCGCTGGTGATCTGCGAGCGTATCGTTGTGGACAACGGGAAGACGCGTATGGAGTTGGTCAGAAATGTGAAGATGTTGTTGGACACTGAGGTGGAAAGTAAAAGTTATTAATAGCAAATTCTCGGATCTACGACTAAAGATTATACCCTTGGCACTACTGCTGTCATTTGCCAGCAGATTATAAAACAATCGCTCGCTCCCAGAGAGCAGTCTCCTCAAATCGAAGTTTTTGCGTTTCTCAAAGATCTTCGTCATGTGTGAGTACGTCAGTATGGATAGTATTTGATTGTAGACATCTCTGAGAAAGGAATGGAAAACCCATTATTTGCAATTATTCTCAAAAATCCGGGGGACGGGGGATGACTCACCCTAGCTGTAACTGGAGCTGCTGGACACTCATGTTACTCCTGGTGGCGGCGACCAGGATAAGCGAACTGCGCTGCATAAAGGCAAACTTTATGCCGGCCGCATGTATGGAGGTGATGGCATCCTGACCCAGTTGCACGAAGCTAACCAGAGCCTGGATTACACCGAAAAGCGTGGCCAACTTGTCCTCATTGCCGTGCAGGGAAAATATCGGTTTTCCCGCCTCGCTGAGGATGAAAATGTGTTTCTTTTGACCCCGCCACAGGGTGTCATGCTGATAGTCGTACTCCTCATCCAATCCGCCAACGGAATCCTCCGTTTTAGCACTAGTCGAGGTGCTCAGCGCCAGGGATTCCTCGGAGGCAGCCAGTCCTTTTGTCTGCTGCCCTGGTTCCGGACTGAGGGCACTGGTGTTTGTATTCCGGGTGTTGTCAAGGCCATCTCTTAGCTCCGAGATAATACTATGGTTCTGTTGCTCAGCCTCCTGGTCGTGATCCGCCTCCTGATAGAGACTCGTTTCCGGTTCGTTTGCCTCCGGATCGCCCTCTGCGTCCAGGAACTCGCACGTTGAGTTTGTATCCGACCTGATCGACGTCTGCTCAACTTCCATTTCTATTTTTTTTTTATATTTCAGCTCTCAAACATTGCAATTTGCAAATTATTTGGCAAAAATACAAAGTTTACGAAGCAAGAGGTTCCAGCTGGGTGGGGTTATCCAACACTGCCGGTGGAAACAGATGATTAAATAAGAGGGGTGATCCTAATTATTTTTAAAGTTATACAATTATATATTTTAAACTGTTTCTCTTAAAAACTGCAGTTGTGTGTTTTGGCTATGCAAAATGTGCTTTCTCGAATACACAATAAACATTTTTGACTACCTTATTTAATATCATTTAAATTCCTAAGCTTAACAGTTTTGTTTATAGTTTTTTTAAACAGCCCTCACATTCTGAGAAAAATTAGCCAACACTACCTATCAGCTGTTGAAAAACCGAAGAGAAGAAGAAGATCATAGGTTATGAAAACACGAGCCACTGCAAAATGTTAAGAAAATCGTTTATTAACCGTAAGTAATCAATAAAAGCCGTAAAGGAATCTCATAAAAAATGTTTTTTTTTTACAGTGCCCCGTTTTAGTCAGATATGCGGTCTGCCGCGACGGCTGCAGAGCACACAGCCAGAGCAATCGGCAGAAGCGGAGCCGGAGGATATTTCCCAAGTTGAGCAGCGGATTCTCAAGCATCCGGATTACTTCCAAGTGCACAATCTGTTTACCGTGCGGGACCTCTTCAACGCACGAGTACATTATGGGCACAAGGAGGGCTCACTAGACGACCGGATGCGTCCTTATTTGTTCGGCAGTCGACTAGGCCACCTGATCTTTGATCTGGACAAGACAGCGTCGCATCTCCGTGATGCACTAAACTTTGCCGCCCACATTGCCTTCCGTGACGGCATTATACTGTTCTTCAACCGAAACGCCATGAACTCGCACCTCGTAGAGCGAAAAGCCCAGGAGGCCGGAGAATTCTCGCACACTCGCTTTTGGCGCGGCGGCATCTTCACCAATGCCAACGTGCAGTTCGATGCAGTTACCCGGCTGCCCGATCTCTGCATCTTCCTCAACACGCAAAACAACGTGATGGCACAGCACACGGCAGTTAGGGATGCTGCCAAGATGGCCATTCCCACGATTGGAATCGTCGACAGCAATTGCAACCCAAATTTGATCACATACCCAGTGCCAGGCAACGATGACTCCCCGGCAGCGGTGGAGCTATATTGCAACCTTTTCAAGGAGGCCATTCTGCGTGGCAAGCGGGAACGTCGCCAGCTCCTTGGACTACCGCCCCTGGACGAAGCCCAGCCGCGGCGCAGTCGCAAACCCAAGAAATAGCCTTAAGAGTGTCAAGTGAATTTTGTTACATTTATCTGAATACAAATACCGATGTCAGTTGATCCAGGATGTAGAATAAACTGCTGACCTGGGACCGAAATTTTGTCAAGTCGATGCAGGAGCCATGCAATTGGAAAATGGTTAAAACCCATGCATTGGGTTAAATCCGTTGAGGAATTCTAGGGCGGCAGCAAGGTGCCACCCTTGACGAAACTGTTGCTGTAGTGGCTGAAGTATGAAGGGTTGGAATTGGAGCCCGTATTGACCGTCGGCGAAGGTCCGGGCCAGTAGTTGTTTTGGGTTTGCGGCGGCGTGTCAGGTGGCGGCGGCGGGGGTGCCAACTGTCCAATCGCCGAGAGATCCGTACCGCCCTTAATGGCACGCCCTGTGCCAAAGAAATTTTGCATCTGTGGTTTTGGGGAAAAGCCATTCGAAGTTTTATCCTTGGGCATGTCCCAGGACCCAATATTCGCCGACTTGCGCACAAACACCTGACCCTTTTCATTCTTATTGTCCTGCTGCACCCAGCGCTCCGCGTGCTTCACCGTCAGCATCGCCTTGTGGGCGCCAATGTATTCCTCGGCCTTTTCCAAACGCTCTAGCTGCTGCTCGTCCAGCTGGTCACGTGGTAGCTTGCCCAAGCGCTGCACCGTTCGCTTCCAGTTGTGGAACTCGCGATTCTTGAACGGCTTCATCGCCATGCGGTATTCCTTCCACTGACGCTGGCGCTCCTCTTTAGTTCCTGGCGGCGATTCATCTAGTGGCAGCGGTGCCTCCGGCTTCTGGACCCACTGGCCGTTGATCTGGACAAAGGTGCCGCCGCGCTTTAGTTTCTTAGAGGGCTGGGCTCCTCCTCCTCCATTCGACGTAGTGTTGGATCCATCGCTTGGCGGCGGCGGCGGTGGCATTAGCTTTGAATCTTTGCTATTGTTGACACGATTGTTTGACTTGAACTTCTTGTTATTTTGCTGATTATTTCGCTGCTGTCCCCGTTCCTTAGGCACGAGATTCCACAAGCTGGGACATTTGGGCATGGGCGGTTGGATGGGTGGAGGTCTGTGCTGTGGTGACATCATGTCCTCCCAAAAAGGAGGCGGCTGCAGAGGTCGTTGGTTGTTATTTCGGCGTGGTCCTGGGCCACTGGGTCCTCCAAAGCCCATTGGTCCGCAAGGACCCATATTTCCCATGGGTCCACACGGTCCTCCAGGACCAGGACCCATTGGTCCCATGGGCGGACCACATGGACCGGGGCCTGGGCCAAAGTTGCCACCAAAACCCAGATTTATAAGCTGCATGGGAAGTGGAGGAGGTCTGCTCAGCGGCGGAAAGTTGTTCCTGTCCTGGTAATCGTTCCTAGTTCCTCCTTGAAAATTTCTGTTGTCATTCTGTGTCCATTGTTTACGCCCATTGTTGTTTGCGTTATTATTGTTGTTATAATTATTGTTACTGGCGGTATTATTGTTTTTGCTACGCTGCGGTGCGACCTTAGATTCCGGCTTCAGCGCTTCCTTGCACTTCTTCCAATCTGCAAATGACATTTGCAGAGGCTTCGTCGCTGTCTCATCATTTCCGGATTCATCGGTGGTTTCCGTAGAATCCGCTGGTGCCGCCTCCACGGCATCATTCTCGGACATTTTCGCGCAACGGCCTTAAATTAGGAGGAAAGGCAAGAAAATTTCAATTTTTCTTGATTTTTTTATTATTAATTGGAGATGACAACAAATTGTAATGATTGAAGGGAAATCAAGGATTGCTATCGATAGTTTTTGTGTTATTTGCGGGAGTTTCCCCTAAAATACATTCGAACGCTTTAAAATAGGTCAGCTGTTTGTGTTAATAGACTGTATTTTTAAAAAGTATATATTTCGTTAATATTGCATAGCATAATAAAAGTTTTTTAATAAAAAAAGGTTATGTATACCTTTATACATATATGGAAACTAAATGAAAAACTTTTCATACAAAACTGCTTGAACTGCTTGAACACCCGATAGCTGTTGGTCATCCCAAGAAATTAATGCACTCAACTTGGTGGCAACTCGAATGGCTTTTTGGGGCAGGGTGGCAGCATCAAAACGATTTTAGTCGCCAGTCGCAGAGATTTTTGGTTTTGGTAAGCTTTTGCATTTTAATGGAAATTCAGGCAAAAAAAACACGGTATAAATAAGCGTGGCGGTCTGCACTCACTATTGACCTTAACCGCAAGAAATGCTGAACGCGAAAAGTGCAGTAATTCGGACGGGAGTGCAAATTCGGTCGTCAGCGAAACGCGTAGTTTGCTTATTTGGAGCACCAAATTCATATTGTGCCACCAAAATATTTCTCATTTTTACCAAGTGTTCATCCCAAAAACGGTTTTAATTGATGGTTAGGTAAAAATTACCCAAATGTTACTTCCTTTTTGTTCTACGCCCAAGGGGCGCCAGCTGCGCTGCCTGCGCTAACGTCGCCAGCGACCGTTCTTGTTGTTGCTATTCTCGACATATGATTCAATAGAGTGATCGCCTCTCTCGCTCTCTCCTCGTCCCTCCCTCTTTCTCTCTCTCCCTCCCACGGACAATTTCAGTTTTTTGTAATATTTCTGTTAGCTGTTTTACTTGCTGTTTTTTGTTGGTGTTGCATCAGTTGTAAGTGATATTTAAAACAAAAAGCAAAAGAATGTGTTCGTATGGAGCGAAAGTCGAACTGAAACAACAACCATTAGCCGCAACAGTCGCACAAATGGTCGACCGTTTGTTGTTCCCATTTATGCAAACAATTTTCATTCATTATTATTTATTTCGTTTTTGGAATTTTGTTCCGCCGATTGAGTCAGTCGAAAAGCCACTAGGGCGCAAACGGGTTAATCAGGCACTAAACTATAGATAAATCCAGGTGTTATCAGCTAAAGCCGCTTATCAAACGTGCACATCGTTAAGGCCAAAGATATACGGTCGCTTTGCGTCGCCATTCGAAAGATTTTGCTAAGTAACGAGGTCAATTTTTCAAATCCTACAAATTGAAGTGGATAACTTCTTAAAACCATCTTCGATATTTAAAACTGTTATCGTTAAAACTATGCAATTATCATATTTTATACATTGGAGCATTATTTTATTATAACCAACTTTTCAGGGGGAGGTGCGGAAAAACGCTTCTACGATTTCTTTTTCACCAATTTTCAACAACATTTAAACGAACGAACAAGTAACCAGGCCTTATAGCTGAACTCACCGCAACCGGACGACAGGAAGGACATCCTTTTGACATTACTGAGACATTATCGAATCCAACGAATCCCGAAATGGCCCACACACATCTGGGACGAGCGGTGAAAAACATTGAGGCGCCACGCCCACTGAAGACACAGTCGCGATCGTCGCTGAAGAACAGCTACTTGGTAATCGAGGAGCTCATCCAGCTGATCGACAGTGTTACCGTGGGCCTGCAGTCATGCAACACCACGCCCGATTCGATCACGTTGCTGCTGCACAATCTCCGCGTGCACGGACCGCAACTGGAGGCCGTGTCCAAGGACACCCTCGACCGGGCCTTCGTCGTGTTCCGCAACGCTTCGCAGGACGAACGGCTGAACATTACGACGCGCCTCAAGCTCCTCGAGCTGATCGAATTACGCGCCAAGAGCTGGGACAATGACGACACAATCGCCTACTACAAGTCCAAGCAGCAGATCTCCAACGTGGAGGTGAGTGGAATTCAGAATTACTATGATCATATTGCGTCTCTCATTTAAGAATGGTTTCTAACGCTCGATCCTCTTTTCTTAGCTGCCCACGGAATATCAGTACGATGCCGGCGTGCAGCCAGGCGGACCTTTCAGCACCTCCCCCACATTCGGTGTCAGCGGCGGTGTTGGCGGTGTCAACGTTGGAGCCGCAGCCGCCGCTGCCGCCGTCTTCAATGCGGCTTCTGCAGCTGCCGCAGCCCAAGCTGCAGCCATTGCGGCCGTGGGCTCACCCAACCAGCAGCACATGCTGCTGCCGCCCGGTGAGGTCATCCGCAACTCGGGCAAGTTCCCCAAACCGACCAAGATCCCCGGCAAGACTTATTGCAAGGATGAGGTCGTGATTCGCAACGCTGATTCCGGAAAAGGTGAGTTTTCGCAGATATGAAGTGTCCTAGAAGACACTGTTTTATGATTATGATTTAAAAATGTATTCCTCCAATTCCGTGGCCACAAAGTCATGGGCATCAAGGGGCGACGCGTGCACATGATCGAGGAACTTAGCGAAACCATAATATCGTTTCAAAGAGGTAACCCCAGAAGGCTGGTTTTTCTATTGTCCTCACTGCACCCACATTTTACTGTTCACGCTTGTTGCACTTTTTCGGTTGGCTGATTGTTCGAAAACGTACTAAAAAGAAAATACGCATGTCCCATGAGTTTTTTACAAAAACTATCCCAAACACACATTGCCTACGCCACATACCATTTACTTGTATATTTATGCCATTTTATTTTCATTTTGATATGTTAAGCATTTCTAACCTTTTATCTGTTACAATGTATTAATTAAACCTTTTTTAATAGTAAACCCGGGCGCCAAAGAGCGTTTGGTACAGATTACTGGTCCAGCCGAGGACAAAATTAAGTGAGTGATGTAAATGTATAAAAAAACCATTTTGTAATATCGCTGCCAAAAAAAATACTTTTTTTTTAAATTAAAAATGTTAAAATCAAAGTCCAAAATGGTCACTCTTTCCGATTCCAATGCTATAGCAATGCTAGCACGTTTAACGGTAAACTTTCATACCGATTGGCAGCCTCAATATCACAGTCTTTGCTTTTACATTTATTAATATGTCTTCCTTTTACGACAGCTATGCCAAGCAACTGATGGAGGACACTATCCGTCGAAACGCCTCGCCGGTCCGTCTGGAACCAGCTCCGGCCGCCGGAGGATCCTGCTCCTCGCTGAACTCTTCAAACTCCGATGAAGCCATCGTGCAGCCACGAACTCCGGGCGGCAGCAGTTTGGCCAATCGGCTGAGCTTCAACTCGGCCCAGAACTTCATGACTGCCACGGCTGCCGCGCAGCAGATCTCGCAGCAGGTGCACCACCAGCAGCAACAGCAGGTGCTCCACCAAACGCATCATCAGCAGCAGCAGGTTGCCGCAGTAGCCGCCGCAGCAGCAGCGGCAGCACATGCTCAGGCGACAGCAGCTGCCGGTAAAGTCTTGCGTCCCAGTCAGCAGCTGCTAATGCACTCATATTCCACAAACGATGCTTCCGTAGGTGAATACAAGTTCACGGTCAACGTGGGCCAGCACCTGATCAAGATCACCGGCGACTGCTGCGAACTAGTGCGCGTAAGTGTGGCTTAGGTATTTATAAGGTGAACAAGTTTCATTCCCTTTTGTTTTCCAGGTGGCCAAGCTCGTGCTCGATGACTATTTCAGCAGCTCGGAGTTTTTGGCCTCCATTGAAGCTGGCGCCGCCTTCGACGGTACTTCTTTAGTGAGCCCAGTGACCACGCCGTCAACTCCTCTCCCGGGCGCCGGGCCACCACAATTTCTGCTGCCTGGAACAGACAGTGGCATTGGACTGAACTACGCGGCCTCCTCGGCCACCAACAACAATGGCGAGGGTGATGACGAGGTGTTTACTGAACCCAGCAACGGAGGATCGTCGACTAACAATCAAAATGGACTGGCCAGGTCGCGTCGCAGCCACTTTTCACGCAAGGAGTCGACGCCAGAGACCAAGGGAGCTCGCGACAAATACGACGTGGACGAATTAGCTGGCCTTAATCCTTTGAAGTCCAATGCATGTAAGATTTAATAATTTTTTGTTAAACTTGCCAGTTTTGAAAGCTTATAAACATTAATTATTACTGCAGCTCGGGTCTCTTACGATATTGAGCACTTGATCTACTACTCGATGAGCCCGCACGCATGGGCCCTGCCCACCGACTGGCAAAAGATGCAAGAGACAACGCCCTCCATTCTGCGCAACAAGGTAATTCCGCCTCTCGATGGCCCAGTCGACTGTATCGCTTACTCTTCGAACTCCCCTGTATCCATCACCACCTCCAAATCCACTACCACTGCACCAAACTCATCAAAAATAACAATTCCGAACGCGTCCACAGCAACAAATGCAATAACCTCCACCCAAACCACCAACATCATCAACACCACCGTTGGAGGAGACAATCCCATAACCGCCACTAACAACAAGCAATCAAAAGGGATCATCGTCGATCGCGAGACCCGTCGCCTTCCCAAGCCATCGGCCATGTCCGATCGGAATCTGTATAATAAGCAATTGCAAATCATAACCAATACCGTGGGTGCGCCCCAGGGAAAAAATCGTCATAATAATTATCAAGCATCTCAAATCAAAGCGATATTCCAGCGCTACAGCGAGGACGATGAGTTTTCAATGGCAATGTGCGAGCCAGAATCGAATAACAATCATGCTTTTCCTTAATTACGTAGCCGGAATACGTATTAAACATTATTGAATCTCGGCCAAAGTTGCCAAAGCTTTAATTTCAGAAAAAATCTCTAAGCAGTATTATTGCTTTTACGAATAAAGATTTTGAACTTTAATGAGTTTCATAACCATAAACTTAAAAGACAATGACTTGAATCAATATCATTGTCGTAAGTTCATACCATCGAAACCAAACCAATTACAAAGTGACATTATTCACTAGTCTTAGACGTAACAATACATCTAATGCATTGAAATTTAAAATGTAACTATAGGAAGAATCTGTGTTTTGGCTGTGAAACAGATTTAGTCTTCGCTAGAGTTTAATCGAAAACGCGGTTCGGACTGTTTAACCACTAACAAATATTCTCGAACTCACAACAACATTTACAAAGCTGTAATTAACGTTTTAATAAGACTTATAACAACTGTAACAAACCTAGTCTTAAGCGTTTTATCCCCCAAACATATTCAATACGATTTATAAAAAACTAATAAACATAAGGGCTTTCAAAGTCCGAAACAAAGCTTGGCTGGGTTTAACTGACACTGCATACATTGTAAATTGTGTATATCCACTTAAAATCCATAACATTAAAAATGCTAACTCATTCGAAGCACGCTCACAAAAATCCACTTTAAATGGCTAACTTAGGCATTAAATGTGTACATATGTTTGTCCAAGGTAAGCTCGACCCTATTATTCAGAACCTTTTAACCTCTTACAATGTACTAAACACGTTTCCTTTGTTTGCTAACAGGATCTGCAGGATGAGAGCCAGCGCTTCGACGGTGAAAAGTATCTGGCCAGCATTAAGACTGCCGCCAAGCGAGACATTGTGGCAGCCGATGAAGTCGAGACCCTGGATGAATAAGCCAACCCGTGGAGCGGTCAAAACTGACAATATACATAGATAATATGCATACGTTATCAGAGTCCGGGGTGGAGAGCTGAGCTCAGACAGAGCTAAACTGTCCTTTAATACTTCTGGCCCTAGCCTCATCTAACAATCGCAAAAAACAAAACGACCAAAAAAAGTTAATGAAAAATTAAGCAACTCAATGCTAAACTAACCTTAGAAAGTACCAACGACAAAATCAAAACTTTCAAAATAACTAGAAAATTCAACGAAGCTCTTAGTTAAGTTCAAGCGAAATGGGAATCGGACTTCCCAATATTTACTAATTTACAAAATGCAGGCTCGAAACAGTCGTTACGAAGCGGCCTTAACTTGCATGGGCCAAATCAAATGGAATGCATTTTTAGTAACTCAATAGAGAATGACACACTATAGTTTGAAATTAGTTTCTCATCCTTCTGCAACTTTGTTTCTCCGAACCAAAAAATTCTCAAAATGGTAAATGAAATGTATTAATTCATCTATGAGTTTATTATTATTTAATATTTCTTTTGTGACTTGCTCTGAATATCATTTTTCAAGATTTGAAATTGTATTTTGTTTTCTCTAGTCTATGCATCATAGAAATTTTTATATTATTTTTGTTAAATTCATGTGGAAATGTAACACAACGAAAGCCACACCAAAATTCTTTGAATTTCTGTTTATGCTTTAGTTAATTTATTTAATTTATTTTGTACAAATACAAAACACATATTCTTCAAAAAGATATTTGCAAGGAAAATAAAATGGAATCAAGATCAAACGCAGTATTTTTTACTTTTGGTGAATGTACATTTACATAAATTTATTCAACAAAACAATAAATACATATAACAATAGTTTACGGTTTGATATGTATCATAGAATATTGGCTAGAAGTTGAACCGATCGAACGACGTTTGTGCGATTAGCAGAATGTGCTCCGTGTTGCTTAACAAGTTAAGTATAGAGAGATGGCGTTAACATCACAAATGGTTATTGGTTAGTAAACAGATAATCAATATACTGCACTTAGTTGCCCAATAAAGGCCGTCGATTCACAAAGGGGCACTGCATCGCGCTTTTGGCATGTACACAAAGCAAATACATTTAGAAAGAGAATGTTAGTTAGTCAGTGACTGATGCAGGAAGGTTTGTCATCAGATATGGGATTAGTACACAACATCAAGACATCAATATAGCATGCTCAACTCGACTCAATATTCACGTACATCGAGGTGTGGTATGTGGCCCGCTGGGCAGGTGACATGTTCAGATTGCCCTGATGCTTGCGGTTGTAGGCCCAGATCGCACACGTGGCCAGCAGGGAGACTATAAAAAGATTACCCAATTAATATAAAGGTTTATACGATGAAGGTCGAGTCTTACTCAGTAAGAAAAACATAAAGAAGAGTTGCAACCAAAAGTGACTGCCACCGCTGCTGTCCACAATAATGCCCGCCGCAATGGTGACGACTGCCAATCCAAGATTCTGCACAGACTGACAGCTAAAAGATAAATGTGTAAGATCTTAAATCGATATCAAAATCAGCAGGTCGTTAAACTTACAAGCCATAAGCCGTTCCCAGTTGATACTCGGGAACAATCAACGACACCAAAGGCCACAAACTGGCAGCCAGCATGGAATAGGACAATCCCATGATGCTCATTCCTATGTACGGATCCCAGTGGGTAAAGGTCAGCAGGAAATGGGCTACCAGCGTGGAGATGGTGGCACAAAACACCCAGGTCACATTTCTTCCGACTTTGTCAATTATGAATCCGAACAGGGGCGATGCTATGGCGGAGATCAGGTAGACTATCGAGTTGACCGTGTTCGCCTCATCCGGAGTCATGTGGAAGTTGCTGACAAAGAAGGCCTGGCCCAAAGCCACAAAGGGGAAGATGGCCACATAATAGGCCACACACACTACAGATACCATCCAAAAGTCCAGCTTAAAGGTGACAATGTCGCTCAGTTTGGCAATCTCTCCGCCGGGGTTATTATTTCGTTTCAGAATGCGCTCCGCTCGCTTGTCCATCCAACCTAAAAAGAGAGATCAAATTAATTTGTAAAAAATCAAAATTTTTATCAAATGTAACATACCCAAAATCAAGGTGCAGACCAACGACATCACACAAGTGGAGGAGGCGAGAAACAGCGCCACGCCCAATCCCTTATAGCCAGAGTACGATTTAGAGACGTAGCCGTATAGAGGTTGCATTATCCAAAAGTTGACGGTGCTTCCGAATCGAGCCACCGACAATTGCAGTCCGAAGACCATGTTTAGCTCCTTGCCCTTAAACCACAACACCGCATAGCTGTTTTGGGCCACAGCCAGCGACTCAGCCCCGATGCCAAAAATAAAGCGTCCCACGATCATCAACCAGAAGTGACCCAGCACTCCGCCGGTAGCAAAGATCAGTTGGCCAACTAGCACGATCAGCATGTAGATGATGGTGCCCAGACGGATACCGAAGACTCGATCGATGAGAAAGCCGCCCACGAAGCAGAGCACGATGTTTGGCCACGAGTAGATGGAGTAGATCAGCGTGAACTCGGTGGAACTGAGATCAAGCTCCTTTTGGAACACGTCCTGCAATGCACCGGGATTATCGTAGCAGAAATAGGAACCTGGGTAATGAGTAGTTTAAATTAGGCAATAGTTGATTTTAAATTTCACTTTTGTGAATTTAAATAATAATTGAATTTAAAGGGTTTTAAATAACTTTCAAAACTTTTCGTCTTACATATGTATCTAATGATTGTATAATGGTAACCTACCAAAACCGAGGAGGCACATAAAGAGCAGGGCCAGGAATCGGTGGGGCGTACTGGAAGGATCACAGCATCCGGCATCCTTTTGCGAACCGGAGAGTTCCGTGTCCCGGGTACTGCGACGACGCACCACAGGATGCACTTCCTCATCGCCGCTGCTGCAACTGCTGCTGTTCGAGGTCTCCACAATGGGTTTGCGTTCCTCACGCGACATTATTTCCACTTTTTTGATGACAGGAAGATGAAGGAACGACAGGAAATTTGAGTTGTGTGATGGTAAATTGCTTTCTGTGACTCCTTCCTTTTTCGAATTCCTGCTCGACTTGGGCGGTGGGCGGTTGACGGGGAGTGTAGCCGGGCTGTGGCCCTACTGTTGTTGCTTATCACTAGACCACACCATTATTTCTTGTTTTTGTTGTTGTTGTTGCCTCAGTATGTGTGCAGTATTGATTATTCCCTCACAGACGAATAGAATAATGGAGTGTTGGAGAGGGGGTGGATGTTACGGTTAATCTGCAATAAAGAGCCAAGATTGAAAATTGCATTTCACACAGAACATTTTCCGCACACACACACAAACAGGTAAATGTCACGGGTGTGCTTGTATGTGTTTAGTAGATAAACAGGACAGATCTTGTCGCCCGTTTGTTGACTAACGGTAAATGGGTAATCAATTAAGCGCATACAGTGTGTTGCGGCCTTAACTTTGGGTTGACACCTGATTTAAGGTTTTATTACTTTATTTACGTATTGAAAACAGCTCAAACCCATTCCGATACATACACACATGTCAATAAATATGCATATGTAAGCACAGTATATCGAAAAAAAGCATTAAAAACGAAATACCCCGTTATCGCAATCAACAATTAACGTCACCCACTAATTAATCACTAGTCCATGGACTTATTTTGCATTATTTACATTTGATTTTTTTAAAGGCGATTGTGGCGGGCGCGATTATGGAACAAAAAAGTACATAGTATTTTCCGGAAAATTTATTTTGATAATAAATTACAAAGCTATTTTTTTTTTACGAATTCAACAAGTTGGAGGACTTACGGTTTATTTCAGTCCCTGGACGGGAGTTGAATGCTAGTTCTTACCTGCTTTCGTTACCTGTAGCTGTGGGGATGGAAATTTCGATATGTTTTGGATATCGATGTATGGTTATCAACAATAACGGTCTATAAGTCGTTACTTTAATCGCAGCAGCGGTTAAATAACTTGAACATTCAGAAAAGATGAAATGTAGTGCCTTTTTTTTGAGAAAGTTAGAGAGTATTTGTATATTAATTCCAAATGTATAAGTAATTTCTCATGATAGCAACTTTTTAAGATTTCAATTTCAAAAATTAACTTGATCATCTGTTACGCCTCCAAGGGTATTTATATCGATAGCTGGCAGCACTCTCCACCCCCGCATCACTGGCCAGTGTTAACTAACGCCTGCAGCGCATCAGGTGGCAACCGTGTGATTTTACACGAAGCAAAACAACTATTATTATTATTTAGAAACCCAGCACAAAGTTCGATGGTTTTTAGGTCTGCACACCCCCAACTGGTTAAAGAACTCCTGGCATAGCGACAAGTATGTAAGTGAAAGTCCCGAAAAGGGCAAACTCTGATGAATCATAGGGAAAAATCGTTTTGTGCAGTGTAAAGGCGCCTGAATCCAACGATGTTGTCTTCGTCGCGCACAACGCAAATTTATTCAAAGACCCACTGCCACATTTTGATACGCTCCCGAGTCGCTAAACACGTTTCGTATGCTTGCATGTCCATTTCGTAATGCCCCCGAACAGGAACTAAAGTCTGTCCACGCGACATGGCGGCGATAAAGGTGAGAATCCCCCGCCATTGAAATCCCCAAACAATGGCCCTATTTTTAATGCGTTGTACAACCGCAGAACATCACCCTGGGCATTTTGTATGGCCTGTGGGACAGCATACGTGGCATGACTCTGGTCCTGCACATCGACGACGAGGTGAACCGCCAGAATGCCGAGCAGGAGCACCGCCAGCAGTTGCGTCGCTCGGACAAGGATCGCTACGAGCGGGCCAGGAGATCCCCGTCCCCGGTTCCCAGTTCGGCAGCGGCCATGATCCGCGAGGAGTACGCCAAACAGGCGGAGGAGAACGCCGACGAGCGAACCCTTGAGAAGATCCTGGGCAAGAAGTCCAGCGCCCAGGAGCAGCAGCCTCAGGGGTAAGTGACGCCAAGCAAATATATATTATAGTCAGACATTAACTGCGCACTTTTATTAACAAGGGAAAAGAAGATCGCCAAGAAGCTGTTCAAGTGCTGTATGCTGAACGGCGGCTTCACCTGGCTGAGCATCGTCCTGTTCGAGTCCGCCTTGCTGCCCACGCTCAAGTTCTGCCTGACCATCTTTTACGGAGCCCAGTCGGAAACACTGCCCGTTGTGTGGGGCTGGCTACATCCCATCCTGTCGCTGCTCTTCGGCATGATGTGGGTGCTCCCCATCTTCATGCTCTCCAAGATCGTGAGCTCATTGTGGTTCGCGGACATAGCCAATGCTGCCTATCGCGTAAGGAAGGGACGTCCGCAGCTGATCCCTGGGATCAGCAAACTAGTGGCCGATTTCCTGTTCAGCATGGTGGTGCAGATGCTGTTCCTGGTCCAGAGTATGCTGGTCAACCTGGTGCCCGTCAAGTATGTGGGCTCTTCGCTGTGCTTCGTGCATCTGTGCCTTCTCTATTCGCTGTACTCCTTCGAGTACAAGTGGTTCAACATGGGCTGGGAGCTGCATCGACGGCTCACCTACATCGAGAAGAACTGGCCCTACTTCTTCGGCTTCGGCATACCGCTCACCGTGCTGACAAATCTCTCCAGCTCGGTGATCGTCAGCAGCTGCATCTTCTCAATCTTCTTTCCCCTGTTCATACTCAGCGGCAATGAGGCGAAGCCCATTGTGGACACCACGTAAGTGATTTTGGTTTGGTAACACAGTCAAGCTTCACTAAGGACAACATGCCAAATCAGAATGTTTCACTTTCTCTTTCAAATTATAGTTTGAGAATACTGCCTAGTAATGAAAATTGAGTGAAATTAGAGTCCTCTTTTCCTCCCCAACCAACTTAATTTGATTTAGAGAAGCTTGTCTGTACTTTAGCTATAAATATAAATAACTAAAAATTTTACTTCCGCCCAGTGAGATCTCGCTGCGTCTCTTCTCGCCGGTGGTCTTCATATCGAACCTGTGCTTCGGCGGCAATCCGTGGAGCAAGGCCAACCGGCTGAGCGCCATGCAGCGGCAGCAGTACGAGCTGCAGCAGCGCCAGCGATTGCTCCAGCGGGACGAGCAGCTGCTGAAGCAGCGCAAACAGCAATACGTGCAGCAACAGAGAATGCAGCAGGAGCAGCTGATGCGACGGGATCGCTCCCATTCGCGGTCGCACACGCCGCAACTGGGACATCCGCATCGCTATGCCCAGGCGCCCGTTTTCGATGCGGGTCGCGTGCGCGACTCCTCGGCCTCGTCAACGCACAGCTCCACCTCGCCGAGCATTAATAGCCACCGGCCGCCGCCTTACTACGGGGGCAGCTCGCTGCGCGGAGCCCCGCCCCTCGTGCCCACGCCGGTGCCCGGGGCACCGCGAGCCCCGCTCACCCCGCCCGTGATACGCCAGGAGTCGGGGCCCGATGACTGGAACTTGTGAGATTTATGCTTATACACGCAACGTAGGCTTTAGCTATATATATAAATTCGATCTGTGTAATGTACGTATCATCTACCAATCCTAACCATCGTGAACTGTGTAAGTTAAAGATAACTCTAGGTCTACGCATAATGACAATGTTCGCTAGTCGACACCGCCACCAACAAAGCGCCCCGTTCGTATCGGGCATGACTATATATATAGAGAGAGAGTGGCTATATATTTGAAATGCGGCTCGCGCAACTGCTGCATAATCGTTTAGATGTTTATTTTAGGCGGCGTTTTTCTCTTTAATTTTTGCTCGTAGGGTGCATACTCTACACTAGAAATTACGTCGGGCGTAAAGTTCGTTTAATGTATAATTAATCAAAAATAAAAATAATTTTGTACTTTCGTCAATTGTTGTTGTTGATTACTTTAAAGACACGGGTTGATTAGGCGTTATCTGTATGATTTGTCTGGGTTTGATTAGGAATAGAGTGAGTCAGAACTAATCTATTTTTGAATTAATTACGAAACTGATAGTTTTATTAATATTGAATAAGATTAAAATCAAAAATTCTCAAATATTACCCATCGAAACCCCACTTTCATTGTTTACCCCCCACCGATTCCAACAATAATTTGATGTTTATGTGACAATGTAACGAGCTCCTCAAAACCTCATAATAACTCCCCCACCAACCCAATCTTCCCTCCGTAACCGCCCCCAATTAACGCCCGAGTTCCAGCACGAACAATCGAAGCAGGATATACATATGTTCATGTTTGGATTGGGTTGATGGTGTTGTGGGCTCCAGGGCGATTACCCACCAAATTGATTATCACCAAGGTTACACCTATGTGTCCACACATTGTCCGTGTTGAAAGTGAAATTGTCGGTTGGTTGTATCCTTTTTAAAAGCGTAATTTCCTGCACAGTCGCCATTTATTGTTCGTGCCGTGCGGTCACTTGTCAGCTCCTAAAACTCCTAAAATCTCGAAACGAAAATCCTATGTGCTGCTCAAAATGATTTTAATAGGACTAAAGACTTTTAAAAATATTTGGCTGGTTGGAGTTTTATGGATCTTGAGTGGTTTGATTTGGCAGATCGCTGCGCAAACTACTCAAAACATCAATGTTCGTAAGTGAAGAGTCGATCGATAAGTTTATAAAAGACTTGTATAGAAAGTGCTATTTGGTTTATATGAATTTGTTGGGCTTAAATATAAGTTTATCCTTGTTTCACGAAAAAAACGCATGGGAAAAGGACAATTTCAAATTTTATCTAAGTTTTAGTGCTTAAAAGATATTGAGAATTCAATAAATTTTAGGGAACTTAGAGCAATGATGACGTTCTTATATTTTGATTTTTAATTAATATAATCCCTTCTAACTTCTTATCCTAAAAAACTGTTATAGCCTTAAACTTGTATATTAAGGTAGATTAACTTTTTTAAGACTTCATTCGCTCAGTGCACACTAGGTAAACTAATTAGATAAAAACTGTGGAGAAAGATATTGGGTGAATAGATTAATTGGGTGGTGCCAGTCATAATGAGTTGTAGGGCAAGTAAGCAAACGCAATGCCACGTAATGCTTTTGGCCAATGCATTTTCACCCACACAATCCAATCCTTTGGCGTAGTTTTTATCAACGAGGTGGATAATGAACCGGCGGCCAAGGCGGTGGATGTGGTGTCAACCTATTTAAAGAAAAACAACCGTTATGGACTTTCGGTGCAGATAGATTCCATCGAGGCGAATAAAACGGATGCCAAGGTGCTACTTGAAGCGAGTAAGTTATGGTTGGGATTATTCTTGGAATCCATTTATGATTTTCCCCCCTTAGTTTGTAACAAGTATGCGGAAAGTATTGAGAAGAAACAAACTCCTCATTTGATCCTGGACACCACCAAATCGGGAATTGCCTCAGAAACGGTAAAGAGTTTTACTCAAGCTCTGGGATTGCCCACCATTAGTGCATCCTATGGTCAGGAAGGAGATTTGAGGCAGTGGCGCGATTTGGATGAGGCAAAGCAGAAGTATTTGCTGCAAGTTATGCCACCAGCGGATATTATTCCAGAGGTTATCCGAAGTATAGTAAGGCATCTCAATATCACCAATGGTAAGCAAAGGAAATCCAATTTAGTTTTTTCTCTTTTTGCAACTTTTGAAATCACAACAAAATCTTACAATTTATATATTCTAAAGCTGCAATCTTGTACGATGAAACTTTTGTTATGGATCACAAGTACAAGTCCCTGCTGCAGAACATCCAAACCCGTCATGTAATCACCGCAATAGCAAAGGATGGCAATCGGGAGCGAGAGGAGCAGATTGAAAAACTACGAAATCTGGATATTAATAACTTCTTTATCCTGGGAAACCTTCAGTCGATTCGAATGGTTCTGGAATCCGTAAAACCCGCGTATTTTGAGCGCAATTTCGCCTGGCATGCCATCACTCAGAGCGAAGGAGAGATCAGCAGCCAGCGAGATAATGCGACTATTATGTTCCTGAAACCCATGGCGTATACGCAATTTCGCGATCGGCTGGGAATGCTGCGAACCACTTATAATTTAAATGAGGAACCCCAGTTGTCCTCGGCATTTTACTTTGATCTGGCACTCAGAAGTTTTCTTACCATTAGGTTAGTAGAAAAAGGCCTAAAAATGGTTCAACCTTATTATTTTATTCTGTAGAGAAATGCTACAATCGGGTGCCTGGCCAAAGGACATGGAGTACCTGAACTGCGACGATTTCCAGGGGGGTAATACACCTCAGAGGAATGTGGATTTAAGGGAATACTTTACCAAGGTTGGGATTTCCCACCTGTACAGAAAATTATGGTTTACTTAACCGCTTTTCTCATAGATTACCGAACCCACATCCTACGGAACCTTCGAACTTGTCACGCAGCCGAGACAGCCCTTCAACGGCTACAGCTACATGAAGTTCGAAATGGATATAAACGTGCTCCAGATTCGTGGCGGCAGTTCCGTGAACAGCAAATCGATTGGCACCTGGGTGTCTGGTCTGGACTCACCCCTTATCGTCAAGGACGAGGAGCAAATGAAGAACCTTACTGCGGATACGGTGTACCGCATCTTCACTGTTGTGGTGGGTGAAAAAAAGGGCTTAGAAAGAAGTTATTAGGGATGTGCTTTACAAAAAAACAATTTTTAACACCTCAGCTTTAAAAACTTTCAGCTTTTAAACTTTAAACAGCAAAATAATGAAAACATGTATACCTTGGGTGAGCTTGCAGAGTTTTTCACATTGACGTTTTATTTTTGTTATTCATCTACTTTTTATCAACAAAATATCATAATAAAGTTAATAACAATTTAATTATATTCCGAGAGTGTGTTGTTTTAGTATTAAGAATTAAAAAATCCCTTAAAAATGTATTAATTACAAAAAGGTTTTCAGAACACACAAACTCTCCTAAGAACATATTAATAAAAGTTTGTTTACTTTTATTTTGTATTTTTCAGCAAGCTCCCTTTATAATGCGCGATGAGACCGCTCCGAAAGGATACAAAGGATACTGCATAGATCTGATCAATGAGATAGCTGCAATTGTCCACTTTGATTACACCATCCAGGAAGTGGAGGACGGAAAGTTTGGCAATATGGACGAAAAGGGCGAATGGAATGGCATTGTGAAGAAGCTAATTGACAAGCAGGCGGATATTGGCCTTGGCAGCATGTCCGTAATGGCCGAACGGGAGATCGTAATAGACTTTACTGTTCCTTATTACGATCTGGTGGGGATCACCATCATGATGCAGCGACCCAGTTCGCCAAGTTCCCTGTTTAAGTTCCTCACAGTTTTGGAAACTAACGTGTGGCTCTGCATCCTGGCTGCCTACTTCTTCACCAGCTTTCTCATGTGGGTCTTCGATCGCTGGAGTCCTTACAGCTACCAAAATAACCGCGAAAAGTACAAGGATGACGAGGAGAAGCGGGAGTTTAATCTGAAAGAGTGTCTTTGGTTCTGCATGACATCTTTAACACCTCAAGGAGGTGGCGAGGCTCCTAAAAATCTATCAGGACGTCTGGTGGCCGCCACTTGGTGGTTGTTTGGGTGAGTTTTCCAAGGATCTAAATTACTACATAAAATAATTATAATTACTAACTCACTAATTCCTTTACAAGCTTTATCATCATTGCTTCGTACACTGCCAATTTGGCTGCCTTCTTGACCGTTTCCCGTTTGGATACACCTGTTGAAAGCTTGGATGACCTGGCCAAGCAGTACAAAATCCTATATGCTCCCTTAAACGGATCTTCTGCAATGACTTATTTCGAGCGGATGGCCAATATAGAGCAGATGTTCTACGAGATCTGGAAGGATCTGTCCTTGAACGACTCACTGACTCCGTTGGAACGTTCGAAGCTGGCCGTTTGGGATTATCCAGTGAGCGATAAGTACACCAAGATGTGGCAAGCCATGCAGGAGGCAGCTCTGCCAGCAACTTTGGATGAGGCGGTGGCCAGGGTGCGGAACTCAACAGCAGCCACAGGATTCGCCTTCCTGGGCGATGCCACCGATATTCGTTACTTGCAATTGACTAACTGCGATCTTCAAGTGGTGGGAGAGGAGTTCTCCAGGAAACCCTATGCCATCGCCGTTCAGCAAGGCTCACATCTCAAGGATCAGTTCAATAATGCGTAAGTAATACCCAAATCTAAATTTACACCTTAAACTTAATATCTTTGTAGTATCCTTACGCTGTTGAACAAACGACAACTGGAGAAGCTCAAGGAGAAGTGGTGGAAGAACGACGAAGCTCAGGCCAAGTGCGAGAAGCCGGAGGATCAATCGGATGGCATATCCATCCAAAACATTGGCGGTGTATTCATTGTCATCTTTGTTGGCATTGGAATGGCCTGTGTAACGTTGGTATTTGAGTACTGGTGGTACCGATACCGCAAGAACCCCCGGATCATCGATGTGGCCGAGGCCAATGGGGATCGATCGCATGTCAAGGATCATCCCGGCAAGATGGCCGATGGTGTGATTCTTGGCAATTCGGGAGAGAAGTTCGAGAAATCAAATGCTGCACTGCGTCCGCGCTTTAATCAGTATCCGGCCACGTTTAAGCCACGTTTCTAGAAGGACTCGGCTGACCGTAAATCGAATATTATAGTGAATCGTGCACTGGGATGTCTACGTCTAGTACTTAAGCAATTTCAGACACTTTGTGCACTTTTATTCAAATTATAATAAATGTTTTAAAAAAGAAGAACAGATTTTAATTGAAGTAGTAAAAAAAAGCCTATAAAGTTTTTACAAAAAATCAAACTGAAAAATTGTTTCAATTTTCAAAAAATTGTATGTCAGCGAAATCCGGGCTTCAAACCAATGTTTGTTTGTGCTGTTGAGAACTAAAATGTAGTATTTTTGGGACTTTGTCGGGGGAATTTTCCCATCTGGTCACACTGCCCGAGACTCCAACATATTCCACGTCCACCCGCGCTCCAAACTTTTATTTTATTTATCAATTGCAATGGGGGACAGCTCGGACGATGAGTACCTGGGCACGGACTGGCTGCCCTACAGCGAACGCCCGGAGTGGGAAGATGTGGTGCCGCTGGAACAGGATGACGGACCCAATCCGGTGGTCTCCATCGCCTACAGCCAAAAGTGTGAGTAATCCAGGCGGCTTTATCTCGGCGAGTTGCTACATATATATCTATTTCTCCAGTTCGCGAGGTTTTCGACTACATGCGAGCCGTGATTGCACGCGGGGAGAAGAGCCAGCGATCACTGGACCTTACCACGGATGCACTGCGTCTGAACCCGGCGAACTACACCGTTTGGCAGTACCGACGAGATATTCTGCGCGAACTTAAGGCCGATCTGAATGCTGAATTGGACTATCTGAGCGAGGTGATTGGCCAGAACTCGAAGAATTACCAGGTGTGGCACCACCGACGCGTCATCGTCGAAATGCTAAACGATCCCAGCAACGAGCTGGAGCTCACGGAAAACGCCTTGGTCAACGATGGCGATGCCAAGAACTATCACGCCTGGCAGCACCGCCAGTGGGCTATTCGCACCTTCAAGTAAGTGGTTGTACATTATACAAATATCGAAATGAGTTCAATACCATTCCTATTATCTCCAGGCTTTATGACGACGAGCTGAACTTTGTGGATCGCCTGATTTGCGAGGATCAGCGCAACAATTCGGCCTGGAACCAGCGTTTCTTCGTCATCAAGCATTTGGGCTTCACACCGGACCTAATTCAGCGGGAGCTAACCTACACGATGAACCGCATTCGCATCATCAAGAACAACGAAAGTGCCTGGAACTATTTGGTGGGTGTGATGAGGCAGGGCGACGGTGGAAATGGATTACTGAACAGTTACCCAGAGGTGGTGGAGTTCGTGGAGGAGCTCTATCAAGGGGGCAATCGATCGCCTTATCTGCTGGCCTTCCTCATCGATTTGTACCAGGAGCAGGCATTGCAACTGAAGGTCGGCGATGGCGATCAGTTGGCCCGGAAGGTCTACGGCCTGTGCGAGGATATGGCCACGAAGCACGATGTGATTCGTCGCAAGTACTGGCATTATGTGGCCACGCATCTGAAGAACCAGCTGAGCAAAGCCGAAGAGGAAAAGGAGCAGTAGTCCAGGTCCAAAAATTCCCTTTTTGTTTAGTTTTAACCATGTACCACGTACTTAGGCCCTCTTTATACATAAATAAAATTAAATTTACCAGTAAACAAAAGTTGCAAAACCCATCCAAGGCATTGCCTCTTGTCATCGTGGGCGGCTGTCTTCATGTTTGCCGCATCTGTCCCACTTTGTTTATCTTGGTGAGCCGCTGTGTTTGTACACGTAAAATTCATTAACAATGAGCAGATAATTTTAGCGCAGTGTGTACTCCAGCTGAGGCCATTCAGCGGTTAAAGTGAGCTCGTAAATTATGGAAACAATTTAATGCTTTAATGCTAGGCTTTAGGAAGAGCTTCTGTTCGTGTGCAAATTAATGTGGGAATGTTTGGGCAGTAAAATTCAAGAAAATAGAATGCCCTTTTCTGGAGTAGAAACTTCAGTTATCTTTTGTTTAGAGGCAGGTTAATATTGTTATCTTGTTCGTCAGAGACAGGAAGAACCTTCAGTGTGCTGTCTCAATATTTGTTATTTATTTAAAGTTGCTTCTTTTAGTTTTTTGTTTTTTTTTTTTCTCATTTGTTTTTAGTTCGAGTACATACAATATAGCAGTTGTAATATATAACTTTTTCATTAAATTTGATTTTCTTGCATATATTTGAGATTCGGTTTTTGCATTTTAATAATAGAAAACCTCCACGGATGACTCCGATCTTGACCGCTAAAGGCTGGACCATCGTCATCCGTGGGGAGAGTGGGAATCGGGTTGGGGAGTATGTACTTAAAATGAAGCAGAAGACATCTTTGGCGTGTTTTTTATTTTGTTTCTTTTTAGTTCAGCTAAATAGGAGCAAAATCATTGAGTACTCGTTTGCGTAGTTTAATAAAATTTCGTAATAATAAAATATATATTTATTTTGTATTTTTGTTTGGTTTTCGCTTCGCTTCGTTTCGTATGATTTTTTTTTTGGATTTGGGTATATATATAAATTTGAAAAAAGCCTATAAATCCAAATTTAGTTGGTACAAGACCATTTAAAATCAAAGCACTTCGTTTGGGTCATCGAAAGTATTCAATATTATCGGAAAAATATATATGTAGTATTTTGAAACGGTTTCTTTAAAAAGAGGAAAGTGTGCAAAGCTCTGTTCCATGGCCCAAGCGAGAGATTTGTTTGTTGTTTTTGTTTTCGGTAGCTAAGACCGTCGATTCGGGATTATCCTCCTGTTCAGAGATTTTGCGTGGAGAGCCAGAAGAGAGAAGTAGTTTGTGTGGTGTGGTTTGTTTAGTTCGTTTAACAATTTGATATATAGAGTTAATATATATAATAGTTTTAATAAATTGATGCGCTCCTTCATGGCTTCCTTTGAGCCACTTTGTTTGTGTTTTTTTGTTCGTTCATTTTTGTAAAAGCATTTTTAGCAAAAAATTAAAAATTCTCTCTGTACTCGGTTCCCGTTTAAAATTTCTGACTTCAGCGCGCGTTCTTGATCGATTTAGCCCCCAGTCAATGTTTCGTCCTTGTCATCGAATCCTAATCCAATACCCATATAAAATAAATCCCTTGATTCCGGCCAAAAACCGCGTTCTCCGATCGACTGTTTTCTGTTTCTGTTTTTTTCTGTGTGAGGAAGCTTCATATACCATCTATAAATATACTCGTACAGTTTCTTGGTTTACTCGTTAATATAATTGTTTAAAAAATCAACGCCACTTGATGTGTGCCATGTCCTGTCTGTCCTAAAGAGTCCTAAGAGGTGCTTACAGCTTTAAGCATAAGTTTAGCGTAGGCGTAGCGCTCTCCTCCGATCGACCTCAAAATCCGTTCCTAACCCAACCGGGCCTACTTGTCCTCCCCGATACCCTCGTCGGTCGTGGTCTTGCGCTCCCTCGCCTCGTCGCCGCTGATATCACATTTTTCAGCCAACATATCCTCGATTCCCTCGTCGACCGTCTGGCTTTCGCCGGGCACATGTTTGCGCCTCAACTTGGTCTCCACCACCTGGCACTCGCCCTGCGGCAACGGCGGAAACTTTCCGTAGGCCGTGTTCCCAATCGTTCCCACGGTGCTGTCCTCGTAGCAGTCCGGTGTCATCCGCACCCGGCACGTCTCGAAGGCCTTCTCGTAGCCCAGCTTCGTGTACAAGCTGCGGGACGCATCGTTCCCAGGACGTATCACAACAAAGGGCGTATAGCCGCGCTCGATCACCAGTTGGGTCAGCGATTTGGCCAGACGGATACCATAACTATAGGGAGATAATAAATAATGTAGAAAATAGTAAGGGATCTCCAGAGATCTGATTCCACTTACCCCATGCGCCTGAAGTCTGGACGTGTTTGCATTGAGAACATGGCGCCGTAATAAGAGTGGACCATCCAGGCGGCCAGCTCGCCAGTCTCCTTGCGAAATATGCCCAGGCCGGGCAGCTTGCGGACGAGGATGTCAAATAGCTGGACGCACTCGATTTCGTTGGCAGGATATAGATCATGGATGCCCTGCACGTTGTCCAGGTTCAGCAGACGCATCTCCGCGTCCTCCGGCAGCGGCTCCAGCTCCAAGTCGACGTTCAGCTTGTTGCACACGTAGATATCACCACTGAGTCGTTCCATCACACCGAACTTCGAGTAGAAGTCATCCAGGCGATTCATAATGGCGATGTGCGTAAAGTTCAGGTACATAGGCTTCTGCCAATCTATAAGTACATCTTCGGTGCGCATCATATCGACATGCTCGATGTGTGCGGATGGACAAAATATGCCAAGCGTTTGGTAAATGTTGTTGTGCGGCTAAAAACAAGTACATATTATTTTATTTGTCTTCAAAAAAAAAAGAAATTCCACACTCACCGCAAGCGTGCATCCTGGAAAATGGAGAATTATCGGTTTTTCGGGCCAATCTTTAGCAACATAAAACTTAAAATCCCAAATACGATCATTCAGGTACGTTTTTATGGTTTGATGAAACTGAAAGCAAAAATTGTGTTAATACAATAAAACTTTTCTGGCTTAAAAATTGAAAGTAAAAATTGTGTTATTACAATAAAACTTTTCGTGCTTCAAAGGTATAAATTTGAATAAAAATTAGAGCAATTAATTCGCCTTTTCATTTGCTTGAACAATTGCAATACGCAGGCTTTTCCAATAGCCGCTGGTAACCGCCCCGGAAAAAAGTTTCTCGCTAAAAATCGAAACTTTAAGCAACTTCAATGGTGGCCAAATCCTTGAGGCCGGTGCCAAGCCATAGATATAGCCAACAAAAGTACAAAAGCACGTGATGTTCTGGGCGGAATGGCATTAAAAATTGAACAAAATGCAAGTGTAAACAGTGAAAACAGGTCAACAAAAAAATCAAAAAACAAAAAAAATGCGAGCCCGACTTTGTGGGTTTGGGATTGCATGACTTGTGGTCTCGGTCTCGGAATTCGTAACGCCTCCTGACTACCAAACCCCCATTGCTCCTCAACTGCAGGTAATTGTTGGTAAATTATCTGAGAATCGGGCGTGGCAACTGGGGAATAGCTTGGTGTCAAGTCGGGCGTAAAACTTTCAGGGAATATAAACAAGCAAACAAAAAATTGAAGGCACTGAAGTGTTGGCATTTTGTATACGCACCTTTAATGATTCCGGCAGATAGCGTTCTAAAGTTACCAAAATTTCTGGAAGCTCTGATTCATGCACCAAACGAAAGTGTTTACCTTCAGGAATGATTTCCATTTCTGTAACGAAAATAAAGCCAGGTTAACCTCTTGTGTAATTTTCATTGCAAATGTTGTTCTTCTCGGTAAAGCTTGTTTATTTAGAATCCCTAAACGCCCATCAAGGTCTCACGTTTTGGCCTCTTTCAAGGCCAATGCTCAACAATGGAAAAGTCGGAAAAGCAAGAGTCACACACCGCGCGTTAAAGAGAGGGAGTCGAAGGAACCGGGGCACACACGTCCGGATGTTGAGGATGCTTTGCCGCAAATGGATTGACGGAATATACTCGTGGATTGGCTTCCCATATCCATCGGCAACTATTCGCCCCGGCTACTTAGCCATTCAAATTGGCATTGTGCATCGGAAGGACATCTGGCAATTGAGCCAAATTAGCAGGAAAGTGCAATGCCAAAATAGGTAATCACCTTTGAATTTCGCCCAATAATCAATTGGATTCGATTAAGTAAAATTTTGTCCAATTACCGTCTACTTTTGATGGCATGATTGGACTTCAGTTAATTGATTTTTCAGCTTTGTACATGTTATTGCCAGTTGGGGCAACTTTTAACATTAAAGTTTTATATGCCTTAATTAATACCGTAATCTGATATGACAAATACTCGTTTGAATACACATTTCTCATGCGCGATTTCCCAAATACATATTTCCCTCTTAATTTGTGTTTTCTTGTTTTTATCGCAAGATTGATGGCCGTTGTGATTGATTGACGAATGCGCCAAATATCATTATCCTTCGCTTGTCCATGGCATGTGCCACTCCCCCTCTGCAAACCGCCCCCGCCAGGGGTTACTATGACTATTTATTGCAGTTATTTGTGTGCCGAAAACGAACGTAATAATGGGGCCCATGCTGGCTGGAATTAGTATTAGTCATGTGGTACATAAACCAAGGTGGAAGGCGGCGGGCGGCAGGGCGTGCCAATCGAGGGGTAGGGGAAATAGACTACTGGCCAAGATATGCCACGTATCCGCATCACGTCTGATTCGGCTCAGACGGTGATAAACACTTGTGTGTCTCAGCAAAATCAATATCAGACTCGAGCCCTTGCTATTATTGGTAACAAGAGCAGTCTCTTTAAAAATCTTTAAACAAATTATAAAGGGTTTTGCATACTTTAACATAAGCTGCTATCAGTTCAAAGGGCAATATGGTACCCAATTAGGGAAAACTGGAATCAAAAGAATTTGCATGTTTAGTGTATGTCTAGATCGACTCGTCTGATGATCCTGATTAAGAATATTTTGACTGAAAGGGATAGCAAGTGCTGCCTTCTACCTGGAAAAAAAACTTTTTGACAAATGCAGTACACGGGTATAAAAATACCGTTGACATTTTGAAGCAACCCCCGCGGGGCTCGATAACTAGACGCGACACCGCAGGTGCCGACATCGCCATCGCCATCGCCCCGAGAAATTCCCAGTCGTATTCGCATTCCAATCCCGAGCCCTTTCGCCTACTTACGCCCACATTTGCTCCTTTTACCTGTGGCATGCTATCGCACTTGTCAGCCAATTTATTTCGGCTACGTTTGCTTTTTTCGGCCTAATTATTGAGTTGCCATATGGCTGTGATGCGTTAAATTTTAATACCCTGGCCAGAAGGGCATCATGAATTGTTCATGAGCAGGCTTCCCTTGAATCCGAATGGAAACGGAATCAGGGTGGAACGCCCCGAAAGTAGAAGGATGTTTACTTTGGGCAAATTTTTTTGTTGTCAAGTTCCAGGAATATGCAATTTTTGAACAAAGAAGGATCGGTAAGTAAACCGAGAAGAGAATCAAGGATTTGGATTCAGGGAACTTAGGTAGGGAAAAGCAAAGTAGAAGAAGTGGTTGATTTAAATCAATTAAAATTGGGTAACTCATTCAACTTTAGAAGAGGTATTTCGAGGCTTATAAGCATATATGTAAATGTACCTATTATTATTAATGATAGCCCATCGAATAGCGAATTTCTAGGAACCCTTGGCGGCTGATTACAGATGCGATTTCTTGAGGCGCATCCACGCTAATTGACATGCACATGTGCATCTTCGGGAATGGCGCGCAGAAAAGTTAGCGACGTGTTCTCAATTAAAACGAAAAAATCAGATCGCAGAAATGTGCAAAGGGTCCCCCACAATCCCCACAATGTTTTTGCTTATGAAGTGCACTTACAAAAAATATTAATTCCGTTGACCTTGTGTGAATTTGAGGCTGCCTTGGCTGGTGGTGCTGCTGCTGATTTTGCTTTTTGTGGTTTCCGACTTTATCCTCGAGGCGTGTCCGCTTTGCGTGTGCAATTTGTATTTATAATTTTATTTATTTTATACGCTCACCGAATTATTTGTGATTTTTGTTTGGAAATTTATAAAATGACCGTTTTTTTTTTTTTTTTGTTATTTTGTTGGTTTCGAAAAAGTGCAGTATGAAAATAATTGTTGGTTACAAATTTATGTTTTTTATATGCAAATCACAGATGTCTTTATTAGAAAAATTTAGTTATTATTATTTTAGGCTGTCGAGTTGATAGTTATTCGATTTTTATTGGGAATTCTGGAAGTTCTTTTGTTTTTTTTTATTTTGGTTTTTCTTATTTGGTTAGGCCTTTTTTGAATGGAGATGTCGGCAGGCTGAGATTGTGATTAATTTTTCTGGCTCTCTTTTCTGTCGATTGATTGTTGAGTATGGGCCTAACTCGATGGACGCGGCTGTTGTGGTCTGCCTTCGTTAGTTCCTAGGTTCTGCTTCTGACCTCCTCTCCGTCTTGCTTCCTCTTTGGTCGCTTTTAGCCCCCGTTGCACCTCCACCACTGATGGCCTAACCAAACGGCGTCTCTTTGCTTTTTACCGTTAACGTCCAGGCGATTCTCTGCGGTCTTTTGTGTGTGTGTGTGTTACGCGCGTGAGTGTGTGTGCATGGCGTTTGGGGACGACGACGACGGGGAAAAGGGGCTTTGGAGTTTTGCAGCCGATTATTATCCTCGACGATTCGCTTTCGAGACGCGTCTATCGTTGCAATTTGTGTATTTTAACAGAAAATTGATTTTCTCAGCGGCCTGGCCTGATTTTCAGCTTCCTTTCGTCCTGTGTGTGGGTAGGCAAATCCTGGCGGCGCCCTCAGTTTTGATTTACTTCAGTTTATTTTATTTTATTTTTTGGCCACACACAACCAAGGACACTCACGCACACACACACACTCACCAGGCGCACACACTGACACGCACAGTGGAATCGAATTTGAGTTCGAATAATTCGATTGCGGCTGGTTTTGGAACTTTTTGCATCAACTGTGAACTGGACTGCTCGCTGTTGCTGTTGCGTTGCTGCTGCTTCTGCTGCTGCTCCAATTCGCTGGTATGTTGCCTTCGCCTTGGATGGATTTTCCTCGGTCTGGTGGTCCTCTGCTTGATGTCCACTGCGAAAACCGAACTGAACTGAACTGACTGACTGACGACAACGAACTGTTCTCGCGGCCCAAGGAGCAGCAGCATGAAAGCGCCGCAGCAGATGTTGCTGTTTTCGCCGCAGCGTGTTGTTGTTGCCACTGATTACAGTGGGTTGATTTTATTCCTTTGCCAAGATTCTAGTAAGGTCTAGAGACGACAATCAACTTCAGATAAAAGTATCCGCTCTCTCGCTCGTAATCTTGCCCTTTTACGTTATAGATGTAGTTTCACTTATTTTTCGTCAGGCTAGAAAAAATGCTCATCAAAAGGAAATGCATTTCATACCAAAAGTACCTAATATTATCACTTTTGACAAACGGTATATTTTAGAATTATTATACATGTGCATGAATATTTCAAAAATTTATTCAATTGCATAATATCCATATGTCCATTAATTAAAATTTCTATCTGTAATTAAACTATTTTATGATGACCACTGTACGCCGTTTGCAAATTCGAGAACGAAGGAAACTGCAACGTGGCAGCAACATCGTCATTTTTCGCCTTCGTAGATTTATTTCGCTCTCTCACGCTCTAAAGGCTCCATCCCCCTTTGCAATTCGCTCAACTGTCTCTCTCAGTGCACTTTTACAAATGAGTGCAAAAAACAAAAACAATTTATCTGCATGCTTTATTAGCAAATTTGTTTTTTTAATTCAAAATATGTATTTCTGCAAAATCTGTAAAGATGAAATTTTTTTGTCAAATAAAATAAATTAGTTATTGCAAAAAGAATAGTTATTAACGAGAATTCCAGAATTTCCATAGCCTGTCTAACTTTTAAGGACTTCAAATATTGAACCTATATAATAGTGTTCCAGTAAGTAGGCAACACTTTTTTAAGCCATATGTTTGTCTTTCCGCTTCACCCCAAATTAAAGGTGTGTTTTACAACTTCTCCCAGTGTGTCTGCTCTTTGTGTTTATTCGTCCTCCTTTTTTGCTCACCTCCCACAGTCGCCTGTTTGTGCTCTCCCCTTTTGTTCATTCGAGAGCGAGCGAGCATGCGACTACTCAACTCCGAAGAGTCGGATGAGGAGTTTCGCTTTTTGTTCATTCGAGAGCGAGCGAGAGCATGCGACTCACTCCAACTCCTTGAAGAGTCGGATGAGGAGTTTCGCTTTTGTTTTGCACGTTGCCCAGCGGTAACTGTACACCGTGCCGGATTGGGATATGCGTTTTCAAAACATATTAGCGACAGAAAACAAAAACAACAAAGGCTCTGGAAAATGGCCACGGCGTCAGCGCAATACGTATACGCCACGTAGCGCCGTCACTTTCGGAGCACGTGTCACTAAAGCCGGTCTCTCTCTCTTTCGCTCTTTTTTCGACTGCCTGTTGTTTTTGTTTACGCCGCTCAGCTGTGAGGACGAACAACCGTTGTTGCCGAAAAAATCCATTTTAATCGCCCAATTTTCGAGTGATATGCCAACCGAAATCCGGTCGACTTGACCGGAAAGCCTCACGGCGGACCAAGGTCGCGTGTGCAATTGACATTTTTATTGGCATTAAGTGGTGCAGGGACTAGTTTCGGTTTCAGTAGTTCCAGTAATTAAGGGAGACATGAAGACGCGCCAGAAAAACACGCCCGGAGTGCTAGGACTGTAAAGTGCACAGGAAAAAAGAAGATCAATGCCAGTTAAAAAAGACATGTCATATTTGGGTGGGCCATAAATATTTCAGGGGGGTTTTAGGCAAGACGTTGTATTCCTCATAATTTAAGTCACCCATCGCAATGGGCGATTTCGAGTCATTTATTTTTTTCTGTGCAGTTTGTATGTACTGCATTCGAGTTGCGACTTTGCCGCCGTGCCACATGCATCATGAATCACGCAAGTTCGGGGCACGCAAAGACAATGACGCCAGTCCCCTAGCCCGAGACGCCCCTTTTCGCACCACTCACTGGGTGTCGAGGACGCATAACTCCGGCGTTTGTAATCAGGGTCGTCATCGCGAAAACTATAGTTATAATAGATACAAATTTTACCCTCGCTGGCATTTCCAAGGAAACTTCGCTCGTAAAAGCCGGAATAACAGTTAGCATTCATACCGCCCATCGAGGTCTATGGCATTTACTCAGGTGCCCTGCGATTGGGGGAATTGGAACTCGGTTCCCGGCGATGAAGTGCCGACAGCCGTTTGACAGTAAAACTCTGGCCTTGGGGGCATCTATTAAAATTTATATGCAGCCGAAACTGAAACTGGACGCCAACGGAAAAATTACGCTGCCTACGAAAAATATTCGATACAAAACTAATATCTATTTAACTATTATCGCCCAATCGAAACAGACTAATTCGTATGCACACGGAAAAAAAATGAAAAACTGGTTACTAAAAAAAATTAGAGGAGTTTATTCTCTTTCAAGAAGCAAATTCATTTCCCCAAGAATTTCGGTTACATTCCTTTTTCCGAAAATTTTAAATAATCCTTTTCCGCATTGTTTGGTTTGCTCTGGACAGTTTTGTTCAGTGTACCTTGGTTTAAGGGCTTTTCGCGTACGCTGGTGTTGACAAACTGCTCGCAGAGTTTTTGGCATCGACGGCATTGCTTTCGCTTTGGCGACTTGGCGCCTCGTCCTTGGCATGAAGTTCGTCGCTGGCCTTTAATTAGCTTTACTCGGATTACTCATACGCCGAGGGGTCTGAGGATGGGCCGCTTCGTTTTGGTTCGGAAGCCATTGTTTTTGAGGCACTGGCATGCGGATGTGGTTGGTCAAACGTGCATGTCGGGCACGTGTTCGGGTTAAAGTTAAAGCGAGCGGTCTTAATGTCAGGGTCAATGCAGGACTTGCATGTGGGGCCGATTTGTTGAGTTCTTGTCCCCCCCGTCCAATATTTGATGCATATTATACACACACTGACGTTGCATAAATCAAAATTTTACAAAAAACAGGGGAAACAAAAGTTCCGTATTCAATGTGTGCTTTGTTGCTCGAGAGATACAATATTTATTCAAAAGCAATTGGCCGGGCGCTTCTGTCGGCGACAGCTGCACACTCGGGGGACATTTTGTCACACACACGTGGTCTATATAGTACATAATGAGTACTATACCGTATGCAGAGAATAAAAGTGGCCTTGCCACTGGCAATTAGAGTTATTTTCATTCGATTTAAGGGACATGCCGGTGCTGCAACGTGCCCGCAAATGGCCTAACATGTGCATGAATTATCCAGGTGAATGTTATGGACTTTATATATTACTCATTTTCCAAGGGGAAGAGGAATGGGAAATTAAACTTTTAAAAGTAAAGTAACGTATTTTCTAACGAGACGTGTCAGTCAGCTATATCTGTTAACAGAATATTATTATCGATAGTCGCGATATGGAGCAAAACTATGAATATTTTGTATTAAATAAGTTGCATTGAATAAATATAATAAAATTGCATAAGTTTTTAAAATGAGCCATACTTAAATTTTTATAAAAACATGAAAATTGAAAAGGTAAGCTATTTGAATTTCCGAGTGCCATATCTTTCAACTTAGTGTTGAGTGCTTGCTATCGAAAATCGATATGGTTTTTACAAGCCATGTCTATCGATAATGGGAACAGCTGATTGTTAAGATTTCAAAACAAAAAACGCTCTCTCACATTTAAATTTCATATATTTAAGAAATTTAATCAAATCGTCTTAAATGTCAACCTTTAAGCCAAAATTCTTAAAGCCGGATACGGACGATGCTATTTCGGAAAGCGTGGGTGGCGAACAGCAGTCCTCCGGCTTTATATTTAATGCCAACCACAATCTGGGACTTGTGGAGCAGGTATGTTTCTTCATTATTTAAATGAGTTATTCTGTTTATATTATCAATTTCAGAGAGAGCGCTTGCCAATACGTCAGTACCGGGATCAAATACTTTACTGCTTAGAGAAGCACCAAGTGGTGATTCTAGTGGGAGAAACCGGCAGGTTAGTATGGAATTCTAGGAATCCCATAAAACAGCATGTTAACTTTATTAATTATACCCCCAGCGGCAAAAGCACCCAAGTTCCTCAGTATTTATACGAGTGGGGCTGGCACACCAAGGGACTTATTGGCATCACCGAACCTCGACGTGTTTCCACCGTAAGAAATCCCTTTTCCTCCATAAATTACAATATTAAAAAACCCCTTTTAAGGTTACCCTGGCAAATCGAGTAGCCCAAGAACGGGGAGAACTTGTGGGCGATACTGTGGGTTACGTTGTGCGCTTTCTCGAGAGGATCACCCCGGACACCAAGATCAAGTTTATGACCGAGGGAATCTTGCTGCGCGAACTTCTCGCCGATCCGCTGCTCACCCAATACGGAGTTATTATTGTAGATGAAGCCCACGAGCGAAATATGCTAACCGACATGGTACTGGGTCTTCTTAAGAAGATCCTGCGCAAGCGGAGCAACCTCAAGCTTATCATTTCATCGGCCACCATAGATGCGGGCTTCTTCAGCGAATTCTTTAGCTGGCCAGGATCAGGAGAGGTCAGTGTGAAGCTTAGCATCGAAGGTCGAATGCATGCTGTGAGTAATTTCTACCTCAACGAACCCTGTGCCGATTATGTCAAGGAAACAGTGGAGACGGTTTGGAAACTGCATCAGAAGGAACCGCCTGGCGATATTTTAGCCTTCCTTACCGGTCAGGAGGAAGTCCTCGAGGCACTGGATCTCCTGCGAGAATACATTGCCAGCTCGGAGCAGGAAAACCTCAAGGTGCTGCCCATGTACGGGAGCATGTCCAGCACCGATCAATTGGCTGTCTTTTTTACGCCACCAAAAGGTGTGCGAAAGGTAGTGCTGGCCACGAATATTGCTGAGACCTCTATTACCATTCCTGAAATAGTTTACGTCATAGATTGTGGCTATGTGAAGGTGAAGTGGTACAATCCCAGTACCTGCAGCGATAGTTTGGTGGTCGTTCCCGTGAGCAAGGCCTCGGCGATCCAAAGAGCAGGACGAGCGGGTCGAATGCGTCCGGGAAAAGTTTACAGATTGTATACAAAGGCGGATTTTGATGCACTGGCTCCTCGGCAGCCGCCAGAGATGCGACGCAGCGAAATGAGCGGAGCTGTGCTCCAACTGAAGGCCCTGGGCATTGGAAACATTCTTCGCTTTGATTTTCCCTCTCCGCCGCCGGCACAGAATCTTCTATCTGCGTTGGAGGGTCTCTTCGCCCTGGACGCCATCGATGAGCAGGGTAATCTGACCAAGCCAGTGGGTTACCTGCTAGCCGAGCTGCCCTTCAGCGCGATGCTTTCGAAGATGCTCTACGTTTCCGGGCAGATGGGCTGCTCCGAGGAGATCATCACTATCATTGCGATGCTGCAAGTTCAGTCCATTTTTTCGCGACCAGTTTCAGCGGTTGCCCAGCAAAGTGGACGAATTGCCCACAGACACTTCGAAGTGGCCGAGGGGGACTTCATCACGCTGTTGAACGTTTACACCGGCTTTGTGGAGGAGGGCATGACCAAGGAGTTCTGTGGCCAGTACTACCTCATCTACAGAAATCTGAAGAGGGCCCACGAACTGAGGGAACAGCTCATCACTTTGGCCAGAAAAAAGTACGGCATTCCGATCTTTTCGTGCAAGGGAGATGTGGAAACGCTGTGCAAGTGCATCACTGCAGGATTCTTCACCCAGGTGGCCTATCTGCATCACTCCGGAGTTTATCGACAAATCAGCAGCGGCACTGAGTTGGCCATACATCCAAACTCCACACTTTACACGTTGCCGCAAGCGCAGTATGTGGTTTACGCGGAACTGCTCCAAACGACCAAGTTGTTCATGAACCACGTGACGGTGATTAAAAGGGAGTGGCTGACGGAGCTGGCTCCACACTATTATCAGCAGATGACAGTGCGGGATTAGCAGGAAATCGGACCTTAGGGATAAGAGTGAGTTGATTTGACCAACTTCTTTAGAAAGCATTCAATCGATTAATTTAGTTTATTGTAACATTATAGTTTAACGCCTCTTGAAAACAACTTAAGCTAAAAGTATGTGGAACTGGTGCTGTGTTCACTTTGAGTCTAACCAGCGGCCACGCGTCCACGACCCTGGAACATCATCATAGACTCGGGACCGCGAATGACTCGCGACATTAGCTCCCAGCACATTTTGGCGGGCAAAAGACTGAAAAATAACAAGGATAATTACCACAGATATAAGTAACATATTAAAATAAGTTACCATTTAAGAGGCGTAAGCAGTCGAATGGAGTTTGGCAGGACGCACCACACTTCGTTGCACCGGACGGCGTTCTCTATGCGATCAGCCACGTACTGCGGCTCCAACATGGGCATCATTCGAGGACGAACACCGGAGAACATGCCAGTATTGATGTAGTACGGACAAATCAAACTCATCTGGATTTTATCATAGCCATGGGCCTTTAGATCCGTGAGCAAACTCTCGTGGAAACCGATGCAGGCGTATTTGGTGGCCGCGTAGTCGCTGCATCCGTAGGTGCCCAGCATTCCAGTGACGGAGCCCACGGTCACAATATGACCCCGATTATTCCGCATCATGTGAGGGAGAAATGCTTTCACGGTCCAATAATGCGAAATAATGTTGATGTTGTACGTGTTTTGGATGACCCGGTCGTGCAGTTCCCAGAAGGGCTTGCAGCAGACGATTCCGGCATTGTTGATCAGTATATCAACCGGACCCACTTCCTCGGTCACTTGGCTCGCCCGCTGGTATATTTGCTCTCGATCCGATATGTCGACCACATAACCCTTGCAGTTATCATAACCGTGTTTGGCCAACAAATCCACCGTTGTCTTGATGGCTGAGCGGAAAATTATTGTCAAATATTGTGAAGCTAATCAAATTGTAAATGTAACAGCTTTCACTTGCGAGCGGGTTTTTTGACCCGTCGTGCAGAAGCTGTGACGGAGTAATTAGCACCTGGGTGCGATTTATCAGCCTCTTACCTTCTTGATTGATATCCCAGATGACTATGCGAGCCTCCAGTTTAGCAAAGTTTAACGCAATCAAGCGACCAACGCCTCCGCCTCCTCCTGTGATGAGCACCACCTGACCAGAGACATCCTGTTAGGGGTATAAAATAATATTAAGTAATCTATTAAGCAATTTGAAATATTTCATATTTCATTTATTAAAGAAGCAAATACATTATAAATCTAGTTAGAAGGTTGTTGAAGTTATCATTCCTTTAACAACTATATTTATTTTACTTTCATTTTATTTTCGAGTCATAAACTGTAATATATACATATAAGGTTCGCTACCTTTTTAGCATACGAAAAAGGTGCGACTGCCTTATGATGGTGCATTTAAAATGACTGGGGCATTTTGCATAATTTAAAATTTTTATTTTGGCCAACGACGCTTTTGCAACATATGCTTGAATCATAATACAAGTTGTGTGGCGCAAGTCTAGCTTTTATTTCTTCGGACCCACGACAAAGTTCAATCAGTTTTTGCGGAGTTCAATCCCCTACAGCAGGGCATATTGGTTCACTCATCATATCGCTGGGCATGAAGCTCTTTCCTCCTGTCTGCTAGGCAGATCGCAACTTTTTCTTTTAACTGATTGCTTGTAATTTATATATACTTTTCTATGCAATTTTTGTTTGGTGTGCGTGGAGCGTGCACCTTGCAACAAAAACAACAATAATGACTAAGGAAAAGGCAAGGTTTTGGTTGAGGAAAAACTCGTTGTCATACTAAGCTGGTTACGCGCTTGATGGACTGGCAAGTCACGGATATTTTTGGCTAAAAACTGAAGATGCGTTTTGTTTTGTCATCGAAAATATTTGCTCCCAACTAACAAATAACTTAAATTCAATGTCACCATTAGGCTTTGGGTAATTGAAAACAAAGCTCCATAAAAGCAAATAAGCTGGCAAATATTTAAACAAATTTTTTAAGTGCCGCTCGGTAGTTTAAGTACTCAAACTCAAATCTGCAGAAGCCAAAAATGTAAAGTAGAAGAGGGTTTATTCACAAATAGCCAGCAAAGCGTGTGAACAAAATTGTTTACCATCGAAGCGTATCAAAACAAAGCCGGAGGTTTGTTCAAACGCTTTTTACGACAAACCCCTTTTTTTTTAAAGCGCTTGCAAATGAGGTACGTTAAATAAACTAATAAATTGGAAAGTTTTTCTGGCTCCGTGTTGAAACAAGCAGACCGTGTGTTTAAATTAAATTAAAGTATTTGCTTTTCTCGCTTCCGGTTATTTTGCAGACAGAGAGCATCATAAATTCATGCTGACCACTTTCATTGTTTTTAAAAAAGCGAAACAAATTTTTTTATGTGCCACAAAATTGCGCGTGGCCCTCATTAATGTTTGTGAAATTGCCAAAACTGACGGCCTGCAAAAAACCAACAAGAGATATGACTTTGTGGTAGCCCTAGCTATGATTGATTTCAAGTGGCAAACTGGAAGCCGCTTTCAAAATAAATAATTGTGGGTGTCTCTCGCACAGTCAACGCGACTCAGGGTCAATTGGGAATGAAAGAAAGTGGATCGAGTTCAGATTAAAATATGCCTATTTTCGTAGTACCTTTAGCTTTCTAAAACGCTGGGGCAGCAGGCTATAGTAAACCGATTCCAGTATGTAAAATATGGACTTCAAGGTGAACACTATCAGGTCGAGGAAGAAAATATAGAAGGCCTTGAGCGGATGGTCCATGTGGAGGAGTCCCGGCGAGGAGGTCATGTTGATGGGGTTTAATTGCCCTTGGAAATTTGAATTGACGAACACACGTGCGCGGGAGTTTCGATCTGGGATTGGTTTGTGTATTGTATTATGTATTCCTTGCGCATGCGCAGCTTGAATGGCTGATTAGGGCTGTGGCACACCGCACAAAATGCCGAGTGCATGCGCAATTTTACCACTTTTGATGGCGCTTAGCCGTGCATGTTAATGATCCCGCACAAATGCAAATGAAATTCGCTTGAATTTCACTGTCTTCCTAGCTTGCCGACTCGGATTTCGATTTGCACGAACTTTATGCTGGTTGGCCTCGGGCACTCACGTCCGTCTAAGCTGGAGTCACAATAAAGACTGAGAGTCGTCTGGCAAAAACCGAATACCTCAAGCCCAAACCAACGCTGTTTCTATTTTGTTGCCTTTTTCCATTATGCGGGATTCACATTCACACAATGGTCTTGGCGCAGCATAAACCGAATCTGAGCACTTTCTTAATTTTACTTTTGCTCTTTCTAGCCGAACAGCTGGCGGTGGCCCACTCGACCTGTTTCCTCACTCATTTTATTGTCTTAGTCGCCGAGCATTTGATTACATTTTATGTTGATTTCGCCTCCATTCGCATGCTACATTGGAGATCTAAGGCGAACAGTCTAGGCCAGTCTTCTATGTTGGTAAAAAAAAATAATAAAAAAACTTAAAAAAAACTAACAGCATTTAAAATATACATATGTTTACTAAAATCTAAACAAAACTGGGGATTGGAAATCTGACTTGTTTATTATTTGAACCGTATTAAAAACGTATTTTTGAATAATAGAAATGATTTTGCCCAAATTGTTGTTGTAGACAATTGCCAAAAAAACATTAACTGATTCGTTTGAGTTCACCGAAAAGTATGCTACACCTTCTGAAGAAACAAACAACTGAAAACCATTCGCCCTGAGAAACTGGTTATTTGGCTTGAGGTCTTTTAACTAAATGCCTTTTAATTGTTATCTGAAGAAATAGCAATGGTGGCCATCACAGGTACATATATTTCCTTATTTTAAACTGCTGAAAATAAAGTCCTTATATTTAATTTTAAAGTTAGAATTCTCTCATTTCCTTGAACAGTTTTTTTAAATTTTCCTTTATATGGTATATTTATAGTTTCTTCTAGTTCTCTCTAGTGTTCATATATAGTAATCATGCATTGATTTCGTTACGCTTTGACTATAACATTTATTTTTCGTCACCGTTTTAATTCCTAACAAGAAATGCTGAATCTACAAAATCAATTTAAAATGCTACTATCTCCACCATGAATAGATACATTTTTGGAAACTGTAAGTTACAAGCAAGATGTAAAGTAAGAATCGTATAAAAAAGGAATAATCATGAATCATTTTTCTCGTCAAACAATGGCAAAAAATGTTATTATTCGGCTCAGAAAAAAGTTCGAAAAACGTTTTGGTTATATTGCTATATATTATATTAATATGAAGTAATTTATTTAGCTAATAAATTAAGCAGGATGCGAGGTGGCAAGATCACCTGCTTTATCGATACCGATTCCAATCAATTTCAGTCACGCGGCAATCGTCACGCGGCCAACAAAACTACCGATATTTTGGCCAGGCTCTCAGAAGTCAGCAGATGGACGAGCGGCGCCCTATCGATACGAGCAATCCGACGGATACACACAGAGCACAAAACACAGATACAGACACGGATGCAGATACACATTAATACACACACACAACGTCTGCTTCTTTTATTCGTCGCAACTTTGGTTGCTGAGTTTATTGGTCGGCAAGCGTTCACCCAGTGCCTGCATTCGAACTGCGAGAAAATCCAGAAAAAAACCTTAAAATTTGTGTTGGTCGAATGACACAAACCGCGCACCAGGCGCTCAGCAACCGGCAGATGGTGGTTGCCCTCACATAGTTGGGTGGCGGCTCTTATTGGCTGCACACACACAGCCAAAGCGATTGCCTCATGGACGCCGTGTATTGTTTTTATACCCTCGAGAAGAGTCTCATGAATTTCAGTCTCATAATACCCACCCTTGATCTTTCTTGTAGGGTGATTAACTCACTCAGATGGAAAGTTGTACTGCATAATTTTATTATACATAAAATTAGGTTTTTTATACCAACGTTATTACGCGTAGAATGATGCAAATTTAGTTTTTTAAGTGATAACTTATTCAGTGTTGATTATGCTCACATAAATATACTAAAAGAATAATATGTTTCTGATCAAATTAGAAAACTAACTAATTTATTTAAGTTTAAAGTAGAAAAGGGTATTCAAACTTCGGCTTTGGAAAAGATAATTCCGTTTCCGCTGGCGATAGCCTGAGCAAAGTCAGCTGTTTACTGTGACTGGTACGCAAGGCACAGACCAACCAGAAATGCTTTAAAGCGGGGATAAAGCCATTACAGGCCAAAGTGGCCAAGTGGCCAAATGGCCAAGAGTGGCTCTTGGCCCGGCCAAAAGAACGAACGGGGCAGGCAGTCGAAACGATCTGATGATGCCATTCGATAAGGCCGAGAATCTGCAGAAGAACGGGCCGAAATAACCGAAAACAGGTTAGCCGGCCGCCTTTCCATCCTGTTGCCTCAATTATGTGGGTGGAGTTCGTGCTTCATGTGGCATTGGCCATTGTTTGGCCATTGCATTCGATGATAGGTCCCGGGCCTATTGGCAATCACAATTGTAATTGGCCTCTTGTCTGATTGACTCAGCCGCCCTGCCAGCCAACCAACCCTTTTTCTCCCTGCGACCCTTTTCTCACCCATTTTCCCCGAACGAGTTATGTGTGTTTATGTTGTTATGTGTGTGACAAGGGCTCGATGCTCAACAGGTGACCAAATGCCAAATGGGCTCTTTAAACGGGGCCCCGCCGACTGGCGTTAGAAAAATGCGGCCAGCAGCAAACCGTTCTCGCCGGGACGCTCGGCACGCTCGCTCCTCGTTGGCTGGCATTAAAGTGAGTTTTTTTCAAGTAAAATTTTGTGTAGTGCGATTTGTTGTATCGCGCGTCCGTTAACAGGCGCCGAGGAAAAACAGAACGTGGATTGTCGACATTTTTGCATCCGCTGTTTTCTTTGGCCGTCGAGCTGCCGAGCGGGACGGCTATACTGCACCCGGCATTTTTGCCACAAGTGGGAGCGAGATAGCACTGGTTCGGGTAAAGCTATGGCATGGTTCGTGTCCCCGCTAGCAGGGTCGAAATGCTTTCATAAGCTCTTAATAACATCTGTGTTATAAACAAAAAAAAAAACAACAATAAGCATTTTTTTACGATGATTTAAATTGAAAAGTTATTTCTATAAAAATCAAGTGTACTATATTTCAATATATATTGTTTATATCCCAAACATCACAAGCCCATTTTAGTTTGCTCATTCATGTAGAGAGATCGACCCACCTATATTTAAACCCAATATTTAATCAAGCCACTAAAACTTCACGCATATTAACAACTGCAAATATTTAACGGATTTCGGAATTGATAAAACATAATTTAAAAACTGAAGCGTGAACCGAACCTTATGAATGGTATGTGTTAAGGTCAAGCGGCATAGATGATAAATGGTTCCATTAGCTGTTTTAATTTATTTTTTGAATTTTCTAATAATCAGGGACACTTGATCGAATGACACTTGTACTTACCAAAATTACAAAAAAAAAAAAAAAATAATTAGTTAAAGCTGTTTTTATTTGCCTTTTGCGTGTGGTTACATATTTTTCCGCCCTCGGTATTATAAATATTATTGAAATATTGCCCGATATCTGTTGGATTCACTTGTGTCAACTGTTTGAAATATAAAGCGATGAAGTTGGTTTCGTGTTTCCGACCAGTTCTGAAGATTTACACAAGACCAAATTAAAAACAAAGAAGATAAATGTGGTAAGCTCGGAGTTAATGAAAAATGTCAGCCATAATACGATATTATACGATCACGGGGGTGCAATGAACCAAAGTGATAGATAAAATATAATACATGAATATGTTTTGTGTTGTTTTTTATTGGCTGGAACATTTTGCAAATGACCAGGTTTGTGGGCTTGATTGATTGGGTCATTAAGGCTTCAAGACAGAACTGTAGGATTATGTTTTTTCGCATATTAATGAAGTGATATAAATCAACATTAGCGGAATGCTCTTTTATATTCGCCTCGGACGTTTGCCCATCAATGAACCTCAAGTGATGAATCATGTAGATCGTTTCTAGAGTATGCTTTAACCATTGAACCATTGATAGCTTTTCCGCATTATGCCATCCACTTCTTGATCATCCGACTGATCCGACTGACTACTGGATATATTGTCTCGGAATCTTTGGGTTCGTAGCGGAACTCGGACTGGTTACTACTTAATGGTTCTGTCACGTACCGAAAAGATGAGGCTGCGGCAACGTCATCAAGTGGCTTTTATACATTCACTTTTTTTCGCATCCGCGTTATCGCCGGTCCAAAACAGCAACAACAACTAAAACGAAGACAACAAAGTTGCCGCGATTCAAGAAGTGCTCTTCGTGGTACTGGTAACTCGAATCTCGCACTGGGTAAGCAAATGTTGTTGTTGCTCCGCTCAAGGTTGAGGCAAACTGGTATCATCATCCACAACCACACAACCACACATCCACATATCCACATCCAAATCCACATGATTGCGGCCTGGCTGTTGTTTTTATCCGCCAGAGCCGCTAAACTGTTAAGAGCAGTTTGTCCGATCCGAGATTGTGGCTCAATGGAGTCGCCGCTTGGCACGAGTCGCCGTGGATTAATTAATACCCATGTCCATTTGGCCCCCGAAGATGTTCTTGGGGGTCGAAAAAGCAAACAAACTAGAAGCCTTTCCCTTGTCACATAAATCTGGTGCGCACTAATAAAAAATTGGTTTAAGTTATCGGTAGAATTTTTATTCAGATTAAAAAATATGTTAAGATAATATTATAACATTATAATACTTCAGAGTTTCCAAAGTATTTTTCCATAATTTATTTAGATATTGAAACTGTTTTCCTTTTCTAGAAATTACCAACTTCATTGGTAGGCCTCAAAAGCACTTTTCTGAAACTAGGAAATGAACATTGTTTTTCTAATTTGCCATTTGAATATAACAAATGTAAGGGCATTTTTTACGAGTGTGCTAGTGCCCCTGAACCGATGCCAAAATCGGGCAGATCAAAAGCCGTTCGCACACTGGGTTAATTCTGTGTGCGCTTAACATTATCTGCGTACATTATTGTAAACAATAAAAATATTGTTAACGACTGAGCGGAATGCACTTAGCACTTCTTCAACGTTTTACATTTCAAACTGGCTCGTTTCTCGGTACCCCCATTGGTGTTTATGATTTATGAACAATTTCTAAAGTGC